TCTGAAACATACAAAGGCAAATACCGAGTGTAAATTCAAATAAGACAGTCAAACAAGCAAATAACATTACACCGGCTAGGGTCAAAGGTACACCATTCATAATGAGGGTAAAAATGTTAAAATAAATGTCAATACAATCAAATGAGGGATTTTCAGATCAGTTTTCCGTTACAGGTACCGCAGCCATTTTAATTTTCTTTCAGGTGGTTGGTAAGCCATTTCTGGTAGAGGATTCATCAAAATCTTTGTGAGTGGATAACACAGAATATCAGCACATTTGCCAAATAGAACACTCAGCACGCCATCTGGCCCGAGGCTTTGCGAAGGTTTTCATGAGTTAAGGCATTTAACCACACCCGTTTCACCAAGATTAGAGAGACTAACATATGTTACATGTTGCGAACTAGATGACAGCAGCAGGTTTAAGCATGAATGACTGATTTGGCGAACAGACAGTTTCGCAGACTTCTTTTCTGAGTTTTGTCTTACCAGTAAGATCGGTAAAAGGTCCCCGTATACCGGAAAGATTCCTACATGAGATGATCTTTTTGCTGTACGTTGTGGGTAAGCGTTTTGTTTCATACAACCAGGCAGTTAGGGAAATGGCTGTAATCAGAAGTCATGTAAACATTGAACTCAAATCTATCTAAATGCCTAGGATGACACCTAACTGCGATGCAGTCTGCATTGTCAGCAGAACAGGAAAAACGTGTATGAGTTGATAAAAACTACTGAGTGTTAATAAAGATATCCACAACTTCACCGTGCTTCTCTGTAGAGCTACGCACAGATCCTGGTGAAGTGTTCTGAAACTAATTAAAGGGACCAAATTATCATCATAAATTGTGCAACCAAGTTTCTTGTAATGTTGTGACGCCAGCATTGCGGCGAACATTAGAACATAGGGGACATAATGAGTAGCCAACGTTACCAAGTAGGGACCTCCTATTTCAGCTGAGTATCTCGGGTAGTGTCATTTTATGTAAATTCGTTCGTTTTAAAGCGCGCTGCCATCCACCATGGTGCCTCTTCTTTAGTAAATTTCCCAAGTCCATACCGATGGGTTGCTGACATTACAGGAGCTTGCGCTAGTACATGACATGATTTAAGGTGATATATGAACAATGAAAACAAATTATAAGAGCGAACCAAATGCGATATATGAGAGGAAGAATTTGGTAGCCCAGAGGTTTAAGCAAACTCACGTCGCGGCAGTTATGTTTCGGTTAAATAGATAAGATGCTATCACGAAGTGGGTAAAATTGGCTGCTTAACGCGGGTGGAAGACTGAGATAGCAATAACGGTAACAGGATGACCAATTTTACAGCTGTTGGCAAGTGCACTGTTGGCGTGGGCATTTGTCACGCCTCAGTAATTTCTGACTGCCCAAGCGCGATGTCACCATGGTTTCCGTTTGAGACCAACTATCCAGGGTAATGAAAAGTGATCTTCGACGTGGATTTTCATACCCCAGCAAAACATATGCCTGGTCAACATGCATAGTGGTAAAGCGCTTAGGCTGATGTGCACATTTCTCCATCTGGTTTCTAACTATTTAAGTTATCCAGTGGTACGTTTCGTTAGTTCATGAAACTCCCGACTCCTAGGTCACAGGTTGTGATCTTTGCTTGGGAGTTCTCGATGAAAACCATATTCATACTACCTTTAAGCAGTTGGAGAACTACTCAACTGCCGAAAGTGACATTACGGACCATGGAAATTATTCGCAAATAAGTAGTATCTTTGAAGCTTTTCCCGTCCATCCAAGATGGCCGGCCAGATTCCATTGTTCGAAATTATTTGGCTCCGAGAGCTCAACTTGACCGAGTACAACACAGACGATTCGGACCTTCCTGAGGCGAAATGATCTTACAGTACTTACATCATTCTGATCCGGCTAGTGCAGCCCATTTACCAGCGTGAGTGATCTCTAACAATTCATATTATCCAGCACCATGTTTTGTTATCAGTGGTATGAATGGAAAAAGATTGTTATGAGGGCAAATAAGAAGCAATATGCCACACTGTTATGGCGGTCTGCTTGCTTAGTCCGACATGCACCACAACTGGACGAATGCGGTCAGTGTGGAAATGAATAACAACGAAACCTTTCTCAAAGCAACTAATAAATGAAGCCACTGACAGGAAATGTGATAGCACGAGAATATTATATTTTTTAGACGACTGTGTTTGGGTATACAGTCAGGCAAGAATGTAGATGAACGAGAGAAAATTGCGAACAGTGCCTTGTTCCAAAGTTAGGAAACATTATGAAAATGTGACTGACAAGCGAAGTTTTCCTTGTGTGCCAAATAAATTAGGTATTTGTGTATGAATGAATTCTTACTACACTTTATCAACTCACATTTTTCTCCCCATCCAGGTTGTAACCACATTAGACTCCGAATAAAGGAATAGCCGTCTATGTTGGTGGCAGGTGAATATTTTCCTCGATAAACTTTATAAACTGCTAAGCGATCGGCCATTATTCAGTCATCTTTTTTTCACACACAGAAATTATTCTTTCCAGAAAGAAGAAGCCTTGACAAGGTTCTTTTAGATGCAAATAAATATAATAAACTAAATATTGTAATAAATGAACACGCTCCTTTTCCTACCTCGTGACTTGCTCAAAGAGGAACACAATGGTAAGGAGACTGTAAAGGTGTCTAGTTCATGTTTATCACATGTACGCAAATGACGTGCGAATACCAAGCAGCATGAAAGTTATGGACCCTATGAGCGTGTATCACTTGGTCAATTATTCCCAAAATTTGTGGAAATATCACTTCATAGCGGCATTCATGATCGCCCCTACCTACATTTGAAAACGTAAAGAGGCCACAAACTTCGAGGTACTTATCATAAAAAGAAGCGTAGCATAGAAGGTGACCTTGGCATCTTATTGTTTCACGCGCTCTCTTCATTATCCAGAAGTTTCATGAAATGTTCAACATGGCAAACTTTAATCACATATGTGATGCTCTCACAACATTTGTCTCTATCTTCAAAAAGGGACTTCATCTCGTCCCACAACTTTACCACGATCTTCACCGTCTGCAGATGCTAAAAGAAATATCTGAAACTCCTGAATATCCGCAGAAGTCTTATACACTTAGTAGAAACCCTTAGCATGTTAAGCCGGCCTTCCAAGACACACGGAAGTCATCCACGGATGTAAAATCGGGTGCATAATTTTGAGGGTGAAACCTAGGCACTGGTAGATTGCATGTCTTTCTGAGCATGTTCAATAGGGCTGTCATGTGATGAAGCAGTATTCCTTACTGCAAAACTTTTCAGGTATAATTTGTTCTCCGTATTCATACCAAGTAACTCCAGAACTCTGGGACAGTTTACACAGTTCAAATCTTCCCTCCATTTTTGTGATAAAGGTAGTAGCATTTCCATATATCTCGGACAGGCGCAGAATCACTTCCATCGCATGCGCTTGGTGTTGATGCGATAAACGAAGACCCGGTTATCAATCCCTCCCTCAACCCAGCTAAGTTAGGTCTCATTACTATCGATTTATCACACCCTATTGTGTGATTGTGTGCAATTGCGTGCAAAGCCATAGACAAGCTTTTCTCTCAATTTCTTATCCCATAAGGATCCAGCAATCTTGATTCAACCAAATTTTTGTGTTCTGTTGTTTTAATTGGTTCTGGTCAACTACTTTGACCCATGTATTTTACCTTGCAGTAATTAAGGGGATTCGGCTGCGGAGAATCTTCTATAAAACTGGATTTACGGTTGCACTTAAACCAACAAATTCGCTTAAAAAAGCCTCTCAGATTCAAAGGTCCTTGTGATCCAATTAGGTAAAACAATTTAATCTACCAAATCCTTACGATGATTGCCAGGTAGAATACATGGGTCAAAGTAGTTGACCAGAACCAATTAAAACAACAGAACACAAAAATTTGGTTGAATCAAGATTGCTGGATCCTTATGGGATAAGAAATTGAGAGAAAAGCTTGTCTATGGCTTTGCACGCAATTGCACACAATCACACAATAGGGTGTGATAAATCGATAGTAATGAGACCTAACTTAGCTGGGTTGAGGGAGGGATTGATAACCGGGTCTTCGTTTATCGCATCAACACCAAGCGCATGCGATGGAAGTGATTCTGCGCCTGTCCGAGATATATGGAAATGCTACTACCTTTATCACAAAAATGGAGGGAAGATTTGAACTGTGTAAACTGTCCCAGAGTTCTGGAGTTACTTGGTATGAATACGGAGAACAAATTATATCTGAAACGTTATGCAGAAAGTAACACTGTTTCACAGTGCGGCAACCAAAGTGGATACATTCTTCTTTTCATCTTCTGGAGACGAAATCCGCAAATATTTTGTTTTCTTAATTACATTTTTCTTCATGATATCTATTTCATGCCGGACTGTGTAGAATGATAGGTTTTGTTCTTTCAGCAGCAATCCCACCAATGATATCCAATGATGGTAATACTGATGAACTGATAAAATTTTACTGGATACTCACTGTGCGAATGTCTACGATGTCTTTCAAAGCGGATTGAAAATCAGCGAAGTTCATTAAATCTAATGTGCTGCATGATATAAGTACAATATTGATTACTCGCCAAGTTATCGGTAACCGTAGTGACCACAGATAACTTGTCACACAGCAATTCGGTCGACTGCTCATTAACTGCATACGCAAAATCTATGTTGTCGGAACTATTTTTGCGTTGAACACACAATATGCGGATCAGCCACAATATCTCCATAAGTGACACCACAATCAGTAGTGACGTTATTATTATTGCATTCAACCCCATTATTTCCCCTTTACATTTTAAGCTTCCAATATCAATACTGTGAGGATAAGAAACTGATAGTTTTTGACACTTCACACCTAGTTCTCATCAGTGAGACAAAAATAGATTGTAACATTGAAAATGACACCGGAGAAACTAAATAGATTTACCATAATTGTATCACTGTTTTAGTTGTTTAATTATTCCAGGGTATGTTTATCTAATAAGCGGCTATTTAAAAACAGTTCTGTGATGTTACTACGGTTTTTGTTGTGGATTGATGATGACACAGTCTATTTTCATACAGGGTAATGAAGTTAACTGAATAAATAAGGCAAATAATTTTTTAGTTGGCCAGTGCGGGAATCAAATCGGACATCGCTTCTGGGACTTGGCTTTAAAAGAACATTCAAGTACAAATGAAGTGCGTCATTGATTATCTATTACTTTGACTAATTCAGAAAGGGCTTTATGATAGCGCCATGTCCTCATTTTTCCTAAGTAGTGCAGTTGCTGATGGTGGCTTTACACCTAGAATATCTGACCTCAAAGCTCGGGTACTTCTAATCGGTTTCTATTCCTAACCCGAAGGCTTTGCTTGTAGATATGGAGGAAGGTGTTGTCAGCGAGATGTTAAAGGGGCCTTTAAGAAATCTGTACGATGCACGTTATTTTGTCACAGATGTGTCGGGCTCTGGAAATAACTGGTAGCATATGAAATATAAGCACAACAAAGGTAATTATAGGGCAGTTGGAAATCTGTATTATGGTCAGATTCATCATGAAAAACTTTGCGAATCAATAAGGAAATCTGCAGAATCATGTGACTATCTACAGTGCTTCTTTGTCTTGCATTCAATGGGTGGTGGTAGGTGTGAAATTCGTCTAACCTACTTCTCCAGGTACCGGTTCTGGAATTGGTACTCATATTTTAAAAATTCTTGCCGACAATTATCCAGATGTGTACAGGTAGTTGTGGGTCGTTTTTTAACATCTTTTAGAATGGACACCGCAGTATTCCCTTCAGTGGACGACGATGTGATTACTTCTCCGTATAATACAGTTTTAGCCCTCAGTCAGATTACTGAGTTTGCTGACTGTGTATTGCCCATTGATAATATGGCTCTTTCAAATATCATAAAGAGAGCTGAACGTTCTTCCGAACACTACTATGGAAATTTGCAAGCCACTAAGAACCCAGAGTTTAGTGCGAAGCCTGTCCGATCATCAAAACCTTTCGATGAAATGAACCACCATGTAGCTAATATGCTTTTAAACCTTACAAGGTATAGTATTTCAGTCACCTTTTTTCTTTTATTGCCAACCTTGAATCTTAGCTTTATTATTTACTAACCCAACACGGGTTACATTTCAAATAACTAATAAATATAATGCAGACCGCCACCCAATGTCATCGTTGAGTATTTGTCCTCACGGCCATCAGGCTTTGACTCCACCGGTCTCCACAACCCCTCAAAAAAAAAATTTAATTGAACTAGTGCTCGTTGGTGACTAGCTTTGAGAAGTATTCCCGAAGTTCCAATGACAAGTCGTGACCGGTGGAGTCAAAGCCTGATGGCCGTGAGGACAAATACTCAACGATGACATTGGGTGGCGGTCTGCGCTATATCGTGAGCTAACAGAAGTTGGAAATATGGAGCATTGGATTCTGACCCAGTGGCTCAATGGTAACGCGCTGGTCGCGGAACCTGAAGGTCGCGGGTTGGATCCCTGCTGGTGGGGTCGTGGGTGCGCACTGCTGAGGAGTCCCATACTAGGATGAAACAGCTGTCCAGTGCTCCCAGGTTTCCTTTGTTCCTCCAACTGATGTCAGTCTTCGATGAATAACAACTTGAAATAATTCCAAATCTCCACAACCCCTCAAAAAAAAATTTAACTAATAAATATGCATAGACTTATATCCATGAGAACTTCTATTCACTGTAACATCCTCCTTAGCTAGTTTTAAGTCTATATGTTTCTACTTAAAATAAACGTCTTTCTTTTGAGGTTTTTCTGTTATTGGCTTGCTGAGCTGCTAATCATGCTTAAATTGCAAACTGGGTACCTATGCAAGTGTCAATTTACATTCCATCGGTAGACAGGTCGTATGAACTTCAAACTTACATATACCAAAATTAGTGAGTTTGGGTGACAAAAACGTTAGTCATTAAGCACTAGGCTAATATATCTCTATCTGTTTGCAATGAAAGGTGTTTATTTGTAGGTAAATATAGTGTATTAATGGTTTTTACCATATATTATATCTTTCAGCTCCTCCCGTTTCGAAGGAACTATGAATGTTGATTTAAATGAAATCAGCATGAACTTAGTTCCATTTCCTCGTCTACATTATCTCCTTACTGCACAAAGTCCCCTATCCATGATATCCCAAAAGTCGATTCCTAAGAAGTAAGCATTACTATTTGCTACTTATCTTAAGACTCTCCTTATTTATTAAAGTGTATTTCGCTTCTTTTTTAAGAAATGTTAACGGTTGTTATGTAACTAAAGATATATTAAAGTTTCGAGAGAGTTCTTTCAGATTTTGTTCGCAGTTATTTTGAGCATATAGTAAGGGTATGAACTCAGTACAACCATATCATCAAGCTTAACGCTTGTGCAATCAAAACGTTACCCTAAAGTGGCCTTGATTGAAAGACTGAGTTTTATGTTTGATAGCGCTATCAGTCCGATTTCTACAATTATTCAAGTATTTTTTTAAAGCTTGGTTATCATTTCTGAAAATTATATTTCCTATAAAAAGTTTCGACTGTTTGGAGCTGGGAAAGATTTGACTTTTTAGTAGCTTTGTTTGAATGCTAAATGTTTTCAAAAACCTCTGCGTATCTTTGTTATGAAATATGACTATTTGGTAAACCGACAGTACCACCGATTTCGGTAAGTGTACAGACAGTTCGACCTAAGATCTAGCGTGGGCTGTGAACGTCGAATAGCTCACTTTTCTGGCATTGAACAAGCGGGTATCGTTGTCTGTACCATGTAGCACTTCCCGTTTCACAGCTAACATCTTGATTTTGTATTCCCTAGTTAAAAAGTAATGCATCTAGTCGATGTTTTCTGGCAGAGAAAACGGTCAATATCTCAGGATTTTGCTCAGAAGTGCTTGAAATCGGTATTTGCATTGTGTACCAAGTAAAATGAAGCCAATTTAGTTGAAGTATTAATACAACCGAGAAGGATGTAGAAATAAATTGATAAAACGATTGTTTGCTAATGAAATGCTCAAAGTTCCGGTTATGATAAAACCGTCTACATCCGCAACCTTGCGATCTATTTTAGGCAGCAACCAAATATCTCGAGTCATTGGTTTCAAATAAGTTAATGACCGCATCCCATAAACCTACAGTTCCTTGCAAAGCTGTGACCCACCCCCAGTGACTTTGTAAATCATGTCTACTGAAGCAACACTAACTAACCGTCCGACACATGTTAGTTATCTTGTTATTGTCCGTAGTGTCCTTTGAAAAAACGTTATTGTTCATTATTCTGCTGGTTAAATCTCTAAACGTAGTCAGTTTGTATATCATTATATAAGTAAGCTTTATTATAATCTCAGCGTGTTTAGAAAATTGAAAACAAGGTTTCTAAACACGATGGGATTATATTAAAACTTATTCAATGATTAGACCTGATTTAGCACCGAACTTCTTTCAGGACATACATAACAACTATGGACTGGATGTATATAGTTTCTATATGTCTGATGAAGGATAAGTTAGGGAAACAGCTTTTATTCGTCAAATCATGGCATAGCATTATTCAATGAATTCATACTATTGGTCTGCACTGTGTTAAGTAAAGTAACCTATTTGGCCAGAATTCGCAAGTCAGTCGAAATATTAGGTTGAAAGCCGTTGGTTATATTTCTGAAAACTACTTACAGTTGTGAAGTTCTATTTACTCCTAAATGCTAATAGCGTGTGTAATTATTCGCTTAATTTCATTTCCCCTTTTGTGACTACTGGTTTTATCAGTCATTTATTCGGGGCTTTCTAATTCTTCCTCCCTCTCTTTTACTATTATCTACTGCTTTTGACCGGTTTTACTTTCTTCATCTTTCATCTTAATGCTTTACTAATTAATGTGTCGATATGACATGCGGTAACCTCGCCTGGTTAACTAGTTTACTAGTTACTAGCCGGTCCTAAGCCCGGGTAAAGAGGGAAGGTTGGGCATAGGGCTAGCAACCCTACCCCGTAAAACAAATCTAACCGCTAAAGAAACTTCAAAGCACAAACAAAATATAAAAAATGAAAACAAACTTATTCCCCGCTGGCGAAATAACGCCAGTTGGTGAAAGCCTGCTCGGGAAGCCAATTGGCCGATGTGTCTTCTCTCGATGTAAGCGAAAGTAAACGTGGGGACATGGAATGTCCGCACGATGTTTGAACCCAGTAAGGCAGCCCAGATTGCAAAGGAGATGAGAAGGTATCACATCGAAGTGCTTGGGATTTGCGAAAGCAGATGGAATAGGAGTGGACTCTCCAAACTGTCAACTGGAGAATCAATAATCTACTCCGGTCACCCAGACGCCAACCACGAGCACACTGAGGGAGTGGCTATCATGATGTCCTCAAGAGCATCGAAGGCTCTCATGCAGTGGGAACCAATCTCCTCCAGGATCATGACAGCAAGATTCAACTCAAAAGGAAGAAAGGTCACAATCATACAATGTTATGCACCTACAAATAATGCAGATGGAGAGAAAAAGGAGGAATTCTACAGACAACTTCAATCAACACTGGACAAGACGCCAGTTGGCGATATCAAAATTTTGATGGGCGACATGAATGCGAAACTGGGAGGGGACAACACGGGAAGAGAACTAACCATGGGTCGAGAGGCGCTAGGTGAAATGAATGAGAATGGAGAATTGTTTGCAGAATTCTGCGCATTCAACGATTTGGTGATTGGAGGCAGTGTGTTCAGGCACAAGGATATCCACAAAGCGACATGGATTTCACCAGATGGACACACTAAAAATCAAATCGACTTTATCTCAATCTCAAGAAAATGGAGACGCAGTCTACTGAACACAAGGTCAAGAAGAGAAGCAGATGTAGGTTCACACCACTCACTCTATCGCAAGGAACCTTCCAAATCAAGTTAAAAGCCCTCAAGGATGCAGGTGATAGACCTCAATTCAAGTACAACACTCGGAAACTGAAGGATGAAACTACAAAGGAGATCTTCACGTCAGCCATCAAGACAAAATGGGAGACATCGAGCAACATCCCTGAAGAAACCTGTGTGGAAGAACACTGGAAGTCTTTGAAAGCTATGTGGAAAGAAACCTACACAGCCGTATTAGGAAGGAGGAAGAAAGAAGACAAGGAATGGATCTCGACGGATACCTGGGAGCTGATAGAGGAGAGGAGGATGGTGAAGCAGAAGATAAACCAGTGCAAGGATGCTCAACGACAACAGGAACTGAGCACAATGTATAAAACACTGGACAAAGAAGTAAAGAAGAGTGAACGAAAAGACAAAAGACACTTCTACGAAACACTGGCAAGTGAAGCAGAACAGGCTGCAGGTAAGAGAGACCTGACGATATTGTATCAAATAACCAGGTTGCTATCAGGGAAGAGACCAACACAGATGAAACCAATAAAAGATGAAGAAGGGAATTTAATTACAAAAGAAGAGAAACAGAGGAAACGATGGGCCGACCACTTCAAGAAGCTCTTGAATCGACCACCACCTGCACTTCGTCCAGAAATACCACCTGCAGCCGCTGAATTACGAGTGAACATAAATCCCCCAACGAAAATGGAAGTCCTGAACGCCATAAAGCTACTGAAATGCGGGAAAGCAGCAGGACCAGATGGAATACCGCCAGAAGCACTGAGAACAGATGCAGAGACAACAGCGGACATGCTCACACCACACACTATTGCAGAAGGTGTGGAGGGAAGAGAAAATACCTGGTTAGTGATTGGAAGAAGGGTTACCTTGTCAAACTGCCGAAGAAAGGATACCTCAGTGCTTGCAAGAACTGGCGCGGAATCACTCTCCTGTCCACCCCAAGTAAAATATTAAGCCGCATCATCCTGGAGAGGCTTAAAGATGCACTGGATTCAAAACTACGACCGGAACAGGCAGGCTTCAGGAAGTACAAATCATGTGCAGACCAAATTGCAACGCTTCGCATCATCATAGAGCAGAGCATAGAATGGCAATCAGCTCTCTACCTCAACTTTACTGACTTTGAGAAGGCCTTTGACAGCGTCGACCGAGAAGTAATTTGAAAACTGCTTCAATACTACGGAGTGCCGCAAACCTTTATCCGCCTCATTCAACAACTATATGAAGATGCCACATGCCAAGTAATTCACAATGGGAAGCTCAGTGATACTTTTGAAGTGAAGACAGGAGTGAAACAAGGTTGCCTACTATCCCCCATGATATTCCTGATTGTGGTCGACTGGATCATGCAGCAAACAGTGGGCAGCGAGAAGAGGGGGATACGCTGGACGGCGGAAAAGAGCCTAGAAGACTTGGATTTCGCCGATGACTTGTGCCTAATGTCACATAAACTTGAAGATCTGCAGGCAAAAACTAACAAGTTGATAGAAGAGGCAGCGAAGACGGGACTTCAGGTGAATATAGAGAAGACAGAAGTGATGAAGATACCGCACCACCACCATCAACAACAACAACAAACTCCAATCACTATCAACGAGAGAAACAAAGGAAGTAACCTCCTTCACTTATCTAGGAAGCACTGTTTCAACTACAGGCGGGACGGACGAAGACGTCAAAGCCAGAATCGGAAAAGCAAGACAGGTGTTCATTAGCTTGAAACCAGTGTGGAGATCTTCTGCACTCAGCATGCGGAACAAGATCCGGATTTTCAACACCAATGTCAAATCAGTGCTCCTGTATGGTTCAGAGACTTGGCGCGTCACGAAAGGCATTTCCAATAAACTACAGACATTCATCAACAACTGCTTACGCTCGCTGCTGAAGATCAGATGGCCAGAAAGAATAAGCAACAAGGAGCTCTGGGAACGAACCAACCAAGAACCTATCACGCAACAAATATGCAGGAAGAAGTGGAGATGGATTGGCCATGCACTGAGAAGGCCGACTGAGGACATCACGCGCCAGGCCCTCGAGTGGAACCCAGATGGGAAGCGACGAGTTGGACGTCCAAGGGTGACATGGAGGAGGTCGTGCGAGGAGGAAATGAGAGGTTGTGGGCTGTCGTGGGACCAGGTTCAAAAGATCTCAGAGAACAGAGGTCACTGGAGGCGTGCTACTGAAGCCCTATGTTCCACTAGGAACCCAAGGGACTAATAATAATAATAATAATAATAATAATATGACATGCGGTAACTTGGACCATTACGCAGTAATGTCTGATCCCATATTAATATTCATAATGGTGACTCACTCCCCTCCGTTTTTACCTTGATACGCTAATATGAAGTGGAACCTCTTGGATTCTTACCCAATTACACTAAGTTTTTTGTTTTCGCCTAGCACACTAGCAGAAGTGATTTTTATTTGTCTTTGTTTGCATACTTATATTTCCTTAGTGATTTTGCAATCTTCCTGTATCTGACTTGAAAGATCGGTACTCAAAAGTTCATCATGCTTACTCCAACTGTTTTCCTATCTCTTACTTATTTTAGGAGTTTTTTTTCTGAATTGATCACTAAAATATCATTATCAGTTCCCATTATTGGCAGTTGGTTAACTGATATAAAGAATTCTTCACCTTTGTAGTACTTAATAGAAGTACCTATTTTTGGTGACATTTATGTTTGGTGTCCTATTGGTTTCTCTTATAGACTCGACCAAATTTTTGCGGATGCATTCACCAGAGAATATCAATTAATGTCAACTGATCCTTGTCGAAATATTTATTTGGCTGTGGCTTTACTTGTTCGTGGTGCAATCAATGCATCAGATCTTCGTCGAAATATTGATAAGTAAGTTTGAATCAAAACATTATGTTACAACTAACATTCAAAATCAATACTAAATAAGTTAAATTTTGTCAGGTTTCAACACCTCTAGCTTGTTCGCTAGGATTCAGTATTTAAGATGACTAGTTATTTTCGTATATTCACGGTTTCATACGCGTTTGTGTTCTTGTATTTTGGCTCACCTTAGGACTGTCATTTTCTGAAAAACCAGTCTACACAGATCAAATGGCTCGTAGAAAGGTAGTCCATCGGAAACTTTGTGTGCCACCAGCAGTGTAGCGCTCACATGGTCAATTATGTATTCTGATTGTTGAAAAATCAATCTATTGACTGTAGGGTTTGACATCTTTTCATAGGAAGGGGACTCATTTAAATAAGTAACTGTGCAATTACGCATGAAATAATCTAAATACTCCTCAACTGTAATGATCGTTTGAGTTTCACACGAACAAACTAATCCGAATATCACAAAATAACTGGAATCCTTTGATTCCTAATTGGAAAAGGATTATCACTACTTATTTTGTCCGAAGTTTGTCAGTAAGTTGTAACTAACTTTTATGACCGAATTTACACTGAAGAGATACATAGTTAACTTTAACAGGACTGCATAGCTAAATGGTTGAATTTGCAATCGAACACCAACTATCCTTAGGGTAAAATTGAACATATAAAAAAGATAGAAATACTCTCTCTCTCTTTCCCTCTCTCTCTCTCTCTCTCTCCCTCTCTCTCTCTCTCTCTCTACAGGAAGTAAAGAAAGTAAGTAAGAAACCAACGGTGAAAAGGTCAATCCTTAATCACGTTGTAGACGAGAAAGATAGGTCTGGGATCCACTCGCAGGACAGACACCTGGAACGATGGGCGGAACACTAAAAGGAACAGCTGAACTGACCTCCAGCTACTATTTCGTGATCGGCTATCCAATCATATTCTGAGTGGAATATTGAGACAGGACCCCAAACACCTACAGAAGTCTAGAGAGCTACAGGTAACCTGAAACGAGGAAGAGCACCAGGGCTACATAAACCAGTACCAGATGTATTTAAAAACTAACTACTAAAGTGTCAACTAGTGTATGGGAGTCAGATATGATCCACTCTGACTGGTTTCAATCACTGGTTGTCCCACTCTTTCGGAAAGCATATGAATCCTCTTTGACAAACTCAGCGTAACCAACCTATGAACATAGTGTCTAATACTCTGGGTTCTATTATTATTATTATTATTATTATTATTATTATTATTATTATTATTATTATTATTATTATTATGATCATGATCATGATCATGATCATGGTCATGATCATCAGGTTTCTGTGTGGAGATTGGAAACACCAGACCCGAGAACATCAGGCAATATTCAAACCTGGTTGTGAGTGCATTAATCAGATATTCACTCCCTGCCGAGTTCTAGAACACAGGCGCACTTTCTGACACCCGACATTAGCAGCATTTCTCGACCTGAAGAGGGCATTCAACTCCATTGGTCAAGAGGTCTTATGACAGTGTTTCTGATTGAAAGGGGTGCCGAGTGAGTGAGTATATCACTTCGTTTAAGGCTCTGCACTTGAATACCCTTGAGTGTGTCAGACCCTATGATGAGTTACCAGGTGAGTAGTTGTGTACGTTGAGTAGTGTGTGTCAAGGATGTCCATTCTCCATTCTTACTCAACTTTATCATCAACGTATTCATGGGTGTCTCTGTCTTGTCGTCTGACTTCACACGGATTCATCTTATCGCAGGGAAATAACTATCAGACCCAGAGTAGGTGGATGGCACTGACGAGATGTAGAGTGTTGTTTACACCGGAAGTAGAAATCTAAGAATGCTTATGATGCATGCTTTGTCACTCAAATGCGAATTGTTGCTCGAAAACTGGTCTTCAGTGATGCTTTTCCGAGCTGTAGGTAGTGAAAGTTTTGAATACGTTCACCTCTTCACTTGCGTAGGAAGTTGCATCAGCCCTGACAAGTCAGTGACCGACAAGATCTCTCCAGAGGATACAAAAGGTTGACCTGGTTTTCGTCACCAATGCCATTTATGACGCCTTCGTGATAACGGATTGCGTATTAGGGCTGAGTATACTATGCCACAGTTTGCTGTGTCCTACCACCCCGACCTCTGGCTGCGAAATCATACTGCAGCTAGCTGGATGGGGTGTGATAGCAGTAAGGTGTTTCCCTTGGATGACCAGCAATGCCACGAGGATGCTGCATCCCTTATGTGAGGGTGGTGGGGTCGGAGTTAGAGAAGGTTGACCCCCAAAACAGCACAATCCCACCGCTCGCAGTATGCAGATGCCTGCAACAGGTACTCACAGTCGGATTCAAAAGCAAACAAAACAAAATCTCAAACTACCCAAAAGCTCGTGTGTAACAGGCCTCAATGAGATGTCATTTGGGCTCTGTGGTCACACAATATCCCTTCCTTTCCAGGTACCTCACGAAGAACTACTCTTCGACGACGTGGGCAGCTGGGAACTGTCAACCGCCCATACACTCCCCTTAGTACACAAGACTCAATCAAACATAACTTATTCTCCATACCTCTGTCTCTTTCTTTGCCTTCACCTCCTGATACCAATATTAAATCCATTACACCTTCCCCTGAGTGTGGTTATTAAATTGACCAGTGCGATGAATCTTCAAAATTCACCTCACAAGTAGCCGAAGACCTAATGGCTGGTTCTCGTGGACTCGCTGGTGTATGCGTAGGTTTGAGCTGTAGGACAGAAAGTGCGCTTCTCGACTGGATACAAGTCAACAGTTGTCAATGTACTATTCGACTGAATGGATGTGTAAAGACTAGGAAAGATCGTAAGACTAGTTGATGCCTATTTGTAATCTCTGCCTACACACACCGACTGCAGCTCGGATGATGGAAAGGATGAGTTCTATGAGAAGCTGTCAGTTTTGCTACAGAAAGCGAACCGTTCAGATTTAATCATAATGAGAGGTGACTTTAACGCTCAAGTAAGGAAGGGGAGGTGATCCAATCGGAAAGGCATCTTCGGGTATTCACGGAATTTCATGCCAAGGAACCGGTAGTGGAGATGATCTGTTGAAATTTTGTCGAGACAACCACTTGTTTCTGACCAGCACTAACTCTAGGCATGAGGAGAGACACTGTCTCACATGGCGTCTGACGACTACCTGTTTGGACTCGGATCATGCGCAGGTATGTCTACACTTTACTGGTCGCAGGAAACAAGCGATAATATAGCCTGTCTATGGTCGACTGGAAGACAAGGACGCGAAATGCTTGTCTAGGGATTTCTCTGAACATAACAGGAAAGCTCATGCTGAGGAAACCTGGCGTAATATTACGTCTGTTGTAGGAACAGCAGTAAAGTTGATAAACGTCACTGTATTTCCGTGACGTCGTTCGAACTGATTGATGCTAGAAGGTTGATTGCAGCTGTCTCTGACCATGATGAAGAGGTGAAGCGAATCAAGCGTAAATCGACCAAGAGTCTTCGTGTCGATCGCAAACAGTGCTCGAGGTCCAAACAGAGAGAGAGAGCTATTGTGGCAGTGTCTGACCGTAAAGGTAGTACCAAGCCTGGCGTACAAATGCAAGCGTTCAATATGCCACATCATATAGTAGCATGCAAAGAACAAGTGGGTAGAGAAAGAACGATATCAAAGTAGACAAAATTACATTGGAGAAACAATTAAATAATGCAGGTTGATGAAAATGTTCATCTTACATAATAGACGTCAAAGAGGGAATGTATCTGCGTCATTGTGACCAACTTTCAGTCATGCAACAAAGAGTACTAGTCTCGAGGATCCTAGGCTGGTAGTCTACATCTCCCAACATTGCTGAGACCAACAGTCACAGACTTCATGCACTGGTGTCGTGTTCTAATCTGGCCACCCTGAACCCTCTTCCAACCTAATACAGCTTCCTCCAACATCTCATCTTTTTTTCGGTGATGGTTTCTTAACTACGAAATACACAAGTTTATAGTTGATCAAAAGACAGCAGTAGATCTTTTATGTCAGTAACAATCATCCACTCGTGTTTTAACGTGTTGCTCATTTTCGAAGTCAGAAACGTTATCGTCAAGTTATGTCACTGCACAAGAAACTTTATGTAGGACTGTTCAACCTACATTGTCATCAATAACTGTATTCACTAGCCTAACTCTATGAAGATCATTGTTTAAAATAGTTCGTATACTTAAGTCCTTTTTGTCTGTCAACTTGTCTAGTCCTGATTCTGTGTACGTGTGATGTATGAGGCTTTCTACTGCATTACCATAATTTTTAATGCATTATTACCTTTTTTGGTTTCTTATCTTTCTTAACTGTAACAAGTATTTCGATAAATTTTGCCTTGTAATTCTTCTTTTTTGTTTTTGCTCTCCTGACAGACTTCAATCCCGTTTACGTTTTGTTCCGTGGAATCGAGAAGGCTGGAAAGTTGGACATTGTTTAGTCCCACCAGTGAATCAACAGTATTCTCTACTGGCTATTTCCAATAATACTTCTATTCATGAATCATTTAGCCTCATCTTGGAACGGTTTCACAAACTATACCGAAGAAAGGTACGCTAAGTTTCCTTTGATTTGAATTATTGACATCATTCATACAATAAACGTTGACTTTTATTGAGTGCCTAAATCAATTTTGTGTCTTTTGCAAAGATACCTTACAACTGAGTTTGTACGCATGATATGTATCGTTCAAAAATCGAAATTAATATGTTGTGGCTTCGGCTACTTAATAAACAAACTGAGTAAAACTAAAATCATAGTATAGATGACGAAATGTATCTTTTCTTTACAACTGCCTTTAAAAGGCAGCCGACAGTGGAATGTTGTCCCGTTGTAGTGTGGGATTTCTCAGCAGTATGAATCCATGATCTCACACAGAATCATGCCTAATGCTTCCAGTTCCGTCATGAGCTTGTTGTTCATTGACTTGGCTGTAAGCCCATGACGAACATTTTTCAGCGTTTACCAACGCCTTAAATTTCTAGCGTATTTTTTTTTATCTTACTGCTTTATTTTTGTGTCATGAAAATAATATTGAGTGATGATTTTTACCGACGTTATCTGAAGAAATTTCGTGGATACAAGTAGCAATTTTTTTGAGTATTCTGGGCATAGGTATATATATGTGAGTCAGTATTTTTACGATTAAGAACAGAAAATATCATAAATGGTAGATATTTCAATTAAAATGGCCCAAATGAATGTACAGTGAATTAATTCACTTTTATTATGGGCATGTTCATAGACGACTTACTTAACGAAGATTGATCATGTAGCAAGAGGTTCTTTAGTAGACCTAGAGTAGTCATATGACGTATTCCAATTAACCGAAGATGTGAATAAGACGTAGTTTTCTGGACACGTTAGGTGGCATTTTGGAAGCAATTGAGACACGTTCCTGACTTCCATGCGAAATATTGCTTCATGATTGGTCTACTTCGATAGACTCATCTGACAATAGGTAATGAAGTGATTGAGTGCGATGAATACTTCACTCGCCTTAGAATTCGGATAAGTCCTGGTGTGTCAGCGATCGACGAAATCACGACACATTCAGAAGGTACGACTGAATCTACACTATATATGGCTTCTTCGAGATATCTAAAAACCCACTAAGGAACGGGTATCATCCACAACAGTTTTGCCTGTGGCTATGAAACACGTTCAATAAAGGTCCAAGTTATGATTTTTCAAGATGCATACTCTCTATTGCCTTCATAATATAAACAATGCATCGTGAAACCATCACTCAATTAATGCAGATTAGGTTTCATTTGGTGAAATTCCCTTCTCGTTCTTTTCTCACAGCTTTCGACATCTTCATAAATCTTTTCGATTTCCGCGTCTTTCATCATGTTACATTGTAGCTAAATATGCTGCAAAACGGTGGCAACTTGTATTGATATGCTGTGATACCATATCAATTTCATATCGACTAACGATGATCCAACTTGATGTTTATTCCATTCATTGAAAATATCCGTCTCCACTTAAAGTAAAAGTAAATAGTTGCACAACATAATGAATTTACCAAACATGGAAGTGAAGTCATTACTTGAAGGGGACCAAGTAAATCAGTGAACGGACTGTTCTCCGTGATTACATTCACAAAACTATATAGTTGAAAATGTATATCTTTTTTAAAGAGCGTTTTTAGTGTGAAATAGTTACAGAAGTTTGTTATTGGATTAGTAACAAACAGAATTACTCAAAATGTCGTTCAAATCAAAGCTGCTATAAATACTGAAGGCTAATCAAAATATAATAGAAATTGCATAAAGACAGTCACATTCGGGTAGAAAGTGGCTAAGCACAACAAGAGATCACGTTTAACTAAAAAGAGCAAAGAAAGTGAAGTGAACAAAAATTTCGTGAGAGGTTATTTGATATTAGATATGTTTATTTGATATAACAACAAGTTATAGAGTATTACTTGCTATCGTTATTATCTAGATGTCAAGTTACACCATCTGATATCGGTTGAAGCAAGTCAAGTGAAATGTTTAAATAACAGAAGTAGAAAACTCACGAGTGAGGAATTGAAAGATGAATAAAAACATTGCTAATCAGAAACTATCCTATAGAGCTTATTAAGAAAGTCTTAAGAACACACTGGAAACGAATTAGTGATAGTTTCATGGAAAGTAATGACAACACAAGTTTAAGGCATCTATTGGGTTACCACATGAAGAGGGAATATCAAAGCAGAATTCAGAACAAGTCTGGACTTAAGGTGGAACTGAAATCTGACAACTTACTTAAATAGAAACTTTGTCGGTTTAAGAAACTAAACATAATGATTTAAGTTACAAAATACCATGTGATGGCTGTGAGGTCAAAGGTTAGCCGACTGGGTCGGTAAGATTACCGGAGCATAGGATTGACACAGACAGAAACTACGTGGAACCTGGCACACAACTACATCAAGTACAAATTACTACACTTCACAGTAGTGTACAAAGAACACGTCTGTAGTAAAAAGAGTTATATTAAAGAACGAAAATTGTGTGAGAGGATAAACTGTCTCCAGATAATGGTTAGTACAAATACTCAATATACTCAGAAGATATCAAGGAATGATACATTTCAGGATGTTAGGTTTTCGAAACTGAATGGTGATACACCTACGCATTTGTGACCCATTTTCAGACATGTCATCGGGGTTCTCCAGAAATTATTTCCCATCATCCCAAGGATTTTTGGCAAATAGTCTACACCTCCCAACATTGCTGAGACCAACAGTCACAGACTTCATGCACTGGTGCCGTGTTCTAATCTGGCCACCCTAAACCCTCTTCCAACTTAATACAACTCCCTCCAACATGGCACTTCCAGGTAGGCAGTGGCTTGGCATGCACAGTACATCTCAGCCGACGGTAGTTCACAACCTCATCAATCGACTTGGCCGGATGACCCAGTACCCTTCCCCTGACCTCGACATTGCTCACATGGTGATTCCACCAAATGCGAGCAATCCTCCGAAAATACCTATGTTCAGAACCCCGTAACCACTTGATGTCTTCCACTTTCAAATGCCATGTCTCACAGCCTCATAGTAAGAGAGAATGGACTGCAGCACAGTATACTCGTCGTTTGATAGACAGTCGGACATCTCGCCAGTGGGCACCACCGATGATGCAAGTCGGCAAGTGCCAAACTGGACTACTGTATCCGAGCTGAGATTTTGTCAGCGACCAGCCCATTCGCGCTGACACAACTATCCAAGTAAATGAAATGGTTGACACATTCCACCACTTCACTCACTATCATTAAACTGGGAGTGGTTTCAGACCAGTCCTAGAGCATCGTCTTACATTTGACATGCCAAACAAACTCAGATTTTGCTCGATGCGACCAGGACACCTTGCATTTTGTCAGCATCTTCACGTTCGAGAACAACGTCATTTGCATACACCAATTCAACCACATACCCTCCACCGAGTTGATCAATACCAGAGGAATTTTACATACCTAAGATTAGGTCCATTTGCACATGTATAACATATTTGAGTAGATATCTATGATAAGCACTGTATACTTCATCGGTGCTACCTTCACAGTCAGACACTGTCACAACACCTCAAGTAAATGTGTGATCAGATTGTTCGAAATGTATTGCGCAAATACATCACATTGTTCACATAAACTTCGTGTTCTAATTACGCTATCGAAACAACACCTCATTGTCGACAAAGTCGAGTTCCACCTTCAGGTCAGAAATATGGCAAGCATCGGTCACCGGTAGCTAGGCTTGTGTTGCAGAACCTGTCTGAGGGTGGAAATCTGATCGATACACCCTCGTCTAGGTTTGAAACCTGCCTGGTTTTCTCGAGTTTGTGGTTCTTGAAATCCAGCTATGCTTCGGATAACTATGAACCCTAGGGTCTTGAACACAATATTAATCAAGCTGATTTTCCTATTGTTGTCACATGCATACTTCTCTCCTTGCTTATGGGGTGCAGTGATGAACAATCTGAACCAGTCTAACGTGACTACATCTGATTCTCATATATTATTTAGTACTTCCGTAACTCCAGTCACCAATTTTCTATCTCCATCCTAAAAGTCTTTGGGTGACAAACCATCAAGTACTGCTGCTTTGCATCGTTTCACGTTCAAACAGCCTTTAAAACTGGGGTGACAATTACAGGACCGACATCTACATCACATTCAGAATTGCGTTGTCGATCAGTTGAATTTCGCTTCAAAGTGTGCCGTCTCTTCTGAGACGTTATCAGCATCTCATCTTTTTTCGGTGATGGTTTCTTAACTACGAAATACACAAGTTTTTGGTTGGTCAGAAGACAGCAGTAGATCTTTTATGTCGGTAACAATCACCCACTCGTGTTTTTTTATTTCCATTACTCGAGATTCCAAAGTTTTGGCGAGCGCTGCCCGGTGTTCGAAATAGCATAGGGTTCAAAATTTGGAAGCTGCAGTGTAGAATCGACAGCGACATTTTAAGAGACTAGAAATTGTGTGTCGCTGGTAACGGTCGCAGTGAGAGATTGATGAAACTTTAAAAGGAATAATATTGCTACCAGGAAGTGAAATCAAACGAGGAAGCAAAGTATAGAGGGTAGGTTATGCTTGATTGGACCTTAGATACTACTGGAAGCGTTTGGGTGGTTGACACTTCCTAGCCAGTGAATAACGTGGAAGGTTCTTCCGCAGGATATGTGAAAGAGATAAAGGAAGAGGTTTTTTTGACTGCAGATCCCATGGGATATCCGTTCAAGGCCTGTCACACGCAGGTATTTTAGGATTGCTGGTTCCAGGCTCGATTGTTCTTATGCTGGATAAGAAAATCCCGTATGGTGGGCATAAAAGAATTTAAGTCAGGGAGGATTGTGCTCATTTTCAAACTCACCTTTACTAACCTACTCTCCATTTCCCATAGGGACGCCAGCACCAGTATGGCACATCTAGTCATCCAAAGGAAACCTGTAGCTGCTGCTACACCCAATCCAGCAAGCAGTACAACTTCACTCTCAGATCCCATCATGGCGTGGCAATTTACATTATGATGATGATTGCTTTTTGTCTGACTACTATCCAAAAATATTTCTGGCACGTTACGACCTCAAGTAACACAGATTTCAGTCAGTGTGGATCGTTGAGTCATTTCATTTACAAACGCAACCACCACGTCAAGGTAACCGTTATTGATCGTGAAGTAGGCATATTGGTATATGGCGATCAATTTCATCAGATTTGAAACCATTTTCTAGTAGTTGATGAGATCATTACCACCTTTCGGTTGAGAAAAAAACTGTCGTTTTCCTGGCTTAGCCTGAATTTATTGAGGCTAAACAAAGTTCCTAACTTTGGAAAGTGTCAATCGACAAAATGAAGTACTATTAAAATGAAACGATGAGGCTTTCACAACGATCACCTGACATAAAAAAAATCACAATCTAGACTTCATTGTCCGAAAACAACAGATCAAAGTGAAACAAGAAAGACTTCACTTAGTGACTTCAGCACGACAAAACAGACTACCTCAGATGCTAAATATTTACACTAAACCTAGGGAGCTCATTAAAAACAGGGAACAAAGAAAATCTGTCAGTCTTTAAGACAAAGATAAAAGATCAATTTAACAGAATCATACAGAGTTCAAGTGGCAGTTCGACTTGACTTGCATAACAGTAATAACGATCAGCCTAACGTAATCTCAGCATTACGGATCAAAAGAAAATAGTCAAAATAAAAATAGTAATTAAGTGTCAAATAAATTATACGTACAATAATAAATCGTTTAAGGGAGAAGGGATAAAATACACATCTATACGCTATTTAATCCAACAGAAACTTTTCATGAAAACGTTTCGGAGACGAGTTTGACTCACTTCCCTATGAAGCTGAGTTGAATATGACGCCTGGATTGACTTGAAAAGCCATACAGGCAGACCTATACTCAGAGACCAAAAGTATAACAAGAACATACTTATGTTAGTTTGTGGAAAGAAAGTAACTACACAAGGGATAGGTCGGTGATTCAAGCATCTGTTCCACAATACGAGTCGGATCCATCAGCGTCCAGGAGCACTATACTATTTAATAGCTGTAAAAAAGATAGCAGTGGGCGTGTCATAAGTGCCATCAGTGAACATATTTTCGACGCTGATCATTCTATTTAAGAAACAGACAAACAGAGAGAATCAACACAGAAGCTTGCACATAAATGCATTTCAAGGAACTCTTACTTCAAGTAAGAAGGCTGTATATCTTAGTATCCGTTGCATAATGATATTCCTGACCATTCACTAGGAAAATCCTGACATCAGTGTACAAAAGAACTTGATCAGCGTCTTCCTCTCCAATGGTCTTACTATGAACTTATTTCTTTTTAGGAACCATTTACTCTTTTTATTATATTATGAGTCTGACAAATTTATTACGCTACCAGTCTATAAGACGGGGAAGAAGTTTTCCTATGACAACCATACGAGAATTACTTTGACAAGCATAGTATCAAAGACCCTAGGATCCACAGCTATCCAACTCCTAATTGGAGTTCGAAAACAACAAACCCGAGAAAACAAAGCAGGTCTCAGACCTGGACCAGGGTGTTACGGTCAGATTTACACGCTCCGATAGGATCTAGAGCACAGGCATAGCTACCGGCGGCCGACACTTGCCATATTTCTCGACCTGAAGGTGGAACTCAACTTTGTTAACCTTGAGATATTGTGGCAATATCTGAGTGTGAAAGGAGTACCAAACACATATGTAATGTTAATCAAACCTCTCTACTCGAACTCATGCAGCCGTGTGAGGCAAGGGAATGGAGATTGTCTTCAGAATTGGCGACAAGTAGTGGTGTCCGCCACAGATGTTCACTAAGATCGTTCCTGTTTAACTTCGTCATCCATCGACTAATGAAAATAAATTTAACACGTAGGACTTGACAGAGATTGGTCAACTCGGTGGAGGGTATGTGGTTGACTTGGTGTACGCAAATGACGTTGTTCTCGAACGTGAAGATGCTGACAAAATGCAAGGTGTCCTGGTCGCATCGAGCAAAATCTGAGTTTGTTTGGCATGTCAAATGTAAGACGATGCTCTAGGACTGGTCTGAAACCACTCCCAGTTTAATGATAGTGAGTGAAGTGGTGGAATGTGTCAACCATTTCATTTACTTGGATAGTTGTGTCAGCGCGAATGGGCTGGTCGCTGACAAAATCTCAGCTCGGATACAGTAGTCCAGTTTGGCACTTGCCGACTTGCATCATCGGTGGTGCCCACTGGCGAGATGTCCGACTGTCTATCAAACGACGAGTATACTGTGCTGCAGTCCATTCTCTCTTACTATGAGGCTGTGAGACATGGCATTTGAAAGTGGAAGACATCAAGTGGTTACGGGTTCTGAACATAGGTATTTTCGGAGGATTGCTCGCATTTGGTGGAATCACCGTGTGAGCAATGTCGAGGTCAGGGGAAGGGTACTGGGTCATCCGGCCAAGTCGATTGATGAGGTTGTGAACTACCGTCGGCTGAGATGTACTGTGCATGCCAAGCCACTGCCTACCTGGAAGTGCCATGTTGGAGGGAGTTGTATTAAGTTGGAAGAGGGTTTAGGGTGGCCAGATTAGAACACGGCACCAGTGCATGAAGTCTGTGACTGTTGGTCTGAGTGATGTTGGGAGATGTAGACTACCAGCCTAGGATCCTCGAAACGATAGGAGTCAGTGGTTGAGTACTCTTTGTTGCATGACTGAAAGTTGGTCACAATGACGCAGATACGTTCCCTCTTTGACGTCTATTATGTAAGTTGAGCATTTTCATCAACCTGCATTATTTAATTGCTTCTCCAATGTAATTTTGTCTACTTTGATATCGTTCTTTCTCTACCCACTTGTTCTTTGCATGCTACCATATGATGTGGCATATTGAACGCTTGCATTTTTATGCCAGTGTCTACGTTGATTTTGTCTGTCTACTTCTGATAATGCCAGAGACTTCATGAACAAGAAATAGTCATACTGCTGGTATTCGATGCAAGGTACCAGTTGGTTAAATCAGGTGGCTTAGGTTCATGCTAAACATTTTCTGTCATCGTCAAAGAAGTCGGAAGTTTTGAAGACTGATTTTAGATGTCTGGTTTCATGAAATATGAGACTGATTGATGAGTTTAAGCTAAGCAGTTTGTCTAAATTATTCATTCTTTCGTAACAATGCACTAGGTATTAGCGAATTTCCATTCCACTGTGTTATTGCCTTCCATCTAGTATCAAACATCTATGTAGGTTTAATAATTTTGCAATTCAGGTGCAGCTGTTATTAACATTTATCTAGATCTGTGTGTATTCATCACAGTATCTGATTCCTGTTGACTAGTTTGTTTTTAAGCTAAAAGTTTTGAAAGACTTAATAAAGCATAATTTATCTCCTTCACATGCTTCAATATTTATCAATACTGCTCATATTTTTTCCTTGAGCTTTGTATTCACTGCTGTCCGACAGAATTGTTTACTCACTCATGTTTTCACCTCGTACAATAATAGTGTGGCTTTTAGCATTATGACTTCACACTTTTCATTTATTCACTTAATAATATTGGGACGTGCAACTTTATGGAGTAAAACACAACTATCTTGATTCCATTTCAGGCTCATTTACACCATTACACAAGCGTGGAGGGTTTCGATGTCAGCATGTTTGACTCGAGTGCTAATTCACTTCAAGACCTAGTAACTCAGTACATTGATTTTGAGAAACAAGGGAACAGTCAAAATCTACCTAACTTACCACGACTAGAGATTATGGACTGAGTAACTGAGAAGCTGTATACGTTCAAATGCAACGGTTATAAACTTATGTACATTTGCTTTTCCTATTCCCTTGTATCCTAAATATGACGGTACTAATTGATGTAATCTTTTTATCTTAATATGCTTATCTTATTTTTATTTCTCTTAATAATTATATTTATCATAGGGAATGAAATTTTATTCTGTCGTGATATATTACCACCTATGAGCTGCTGGATAGAGAAGCTGTGGCTCATTTGTCTCTGTAGTTAGTTTAAGGGTTCCGACCTCTCTCAATCTTCTGAGGTTTAGCCCACTAGGGAGTATTATAAGCTCTCATAATACAGATGTGCACAGGCGTGCAAGTGATTGGTCGGTTACACTGCATTTCTTCAAGTAATCGACTCTTTTAAAGAAAACACTTTTTGTTACTTACTTCATGATAGTGGTTAATTTCGTGATAGAAATCAATTCACTTGTACTCAAATTTTACTAATTAGATCGAAGGTGAATACAGATCAGTAATCTTGATCAGTTATCTTACACTAAGCTATTTATGGGACACGCTTTCTATGTAGTGTGTCTACTAATTCCATCTGATCACTCAAACCTTAGTAGTTGAGGTGAATCTTGAACCCATTACAAACTACTTGAAAGTCCGGTAAGCCAGAGCTCCTATTTTTAACGCTATACACAGTTACTTTGATTAATCTCAAGTAACCAGTCAGTGTAGATAATCCATTTCTATAGCAAGTCAACAGTGGCCAAAATAACTCAGTGCTAACTTAATACAATATTGGGTGACGTAGATCCGAATCTCCGAAGGTGCATCGAAAACGCCCTATGAGGTTGCAAACGCACCTAGCTGATGAACTCTGACAATCACAATACTTAGGTTACACAGCTTTTTACCGAATGTTTGCAGCTATCTAACATCAATAGGATGTGTAACCTAAATCGTATAACTGTGAGGAAGCACTAATTATACCAACAAACAACCAATTATTTTTAGATCCGTTATCCTAGTTGTGTGTACTCTGGTTTATGACAAGTTAATTATATATTGTCGATAAGGTAACCAGAAATTATGCAATTACTGAAGATCTTCTTTTTGATTTGAGCAGAGTATGAATAGTTTACTTCAGGAATTCATGCACTCAGTGGATAAATTGAAATGTTCGTGTTAGAGTTCTCTGAACTTATTTTTTTTGTTCTTAAGATGTATCTGAACCTTTCCCACCTCTAGTATTCTTACAGAGCCTTCTCGCGTCCGTATATCTTTAGTTTCTTTACTGAAACGAATACCACGATAGCAAACAATGCCAACTCCTAATAACTCTGGTTATACACTTCATATTTCGCTATATCTAATCCACATCGTTCTTTAGGTGCTACGAGGAATTCGACAGCATACTTTGACGAACTGACTGCCAAATCAACGAAGAACCTCGTACAGAGGTGCATCGGCTCAAATCATCACACTTCACAGCAGTATCCAAAGAACAGGAGGATAGAATAAGAGCGATATCAAAGTTGAGAGAATAAACAAACTGAAGATAAAGATTAGTGTGAATATTCAAGCTTTAAAAGTAAAGGAATGAATACATCTGCGCCATTGTGACCGATTTTCAGCCATGTCACCAACAGTCCTCATCTAGTGATTCCTTTCGTTTTGAGAACTCCAAACAGGCAGTCTACATCGCCCCACACAACTTAGACGAACAGTAAAAGACTTCGTTTATTGGTGCCACGTCTTAGTCGGATAACTCTGAACTCTCTTCCAACCTAGTCAAGCTTCCCACAGTATGGCACATCGAAGTAGTCTGTGGCTTGGCATGAGCAACACATGTCCAAGCCATCTCAGTTGACTAAGGTTCACAATCTCTTCGATCAATTCGTCTGGTACCCTCTTCTGACTTCAACATTGCTCACACGGTGATTCCACCAAACGCGAGTGAAGCTACGAAACTACCTATGGTCAGAAATCTGTGACTACTTCATGTCTCCTAATATCAAAATCCACGTCTCACAGCTGAACGGCAGGACAAATCGGACTTGAGCGTACTATACTTGTCGGATATTTCGACAGTGAGTGCAGCCGATGATGCAAGTTGGCAACTGCTAAACGGGTATTCTGTATCCGAGCTCAGATTTCCTCAGCAATTAACTCATTCGAGCTGATGCAACCTCCCAAGTGGGTGAAGTAGTCGGCACATTCCACCACTTCACTTCCTATCGTCAAACTAGGAGTACTTGCAGCAAACCAGTCCTGGATTATCATCTTACATTTGACAGGTGCTCAACACGTCCAGAAGACCCTGCATTTTGTCAGCGTCTTCACCTAACAGGCCAATATCGTTTGCATATCCCAATTCAACCAGATAACTTCAAGGAAGTATATCAATCTTTGTGAAGTCAGATCCACCTAAGGTTATGTCCATTGGTACATCTATAACGCAGATAAATAAAAGCAGTGGCAGTGGGCAACCCTGGCAGACATCAATTGTTGTTTTCGTCTCTGATGATAACTTTCCACAAGGCCTTCCCTTACACCGCTGCATGAGTTCGAGTAGACACCACTGATAAGTATTATATACTTTCTCGGTACTCCCTTCACAGTCAGACACTGCCGCAACACCTCACAGTTGACAGAGTCAAATACAACCCTTCAGATCAAGAAATACGGCAAGTGTCGGCCGCCGGTAGGTAGGCCTGTGTTCCACAAAATATCGTAGATTAGAAATATTATTGATGCATCGTCAGTCAGGTCTGAAACGTGCTTGGTTTTCTCGAGCTCTAGTTAGGCATTGCATAACTATGGAGTCCAGAGTCATGGATTCAATCTTAGGCAAACCAGTACCCCCTATGTTTGTCACAGCAAGATTTAAGCCCCTTCTTATAGAGCACGATGATACGTTAAGCATACCAGTCTGACGACACTACCTCTGATTCCCATATACTACGTAGTACCTAAGTCACATTAGGCCGCGATTTCCTACCTCCATACTTCAAAACGTCGAGGGATAAACTCTCAGGTCCTGCTGCTTTCTATCGTTTGAATTTCGATTCAGCCTCATCAACCTCAAGGAGAGTTGGAGGACCAACATCGACGTACCATTTAGGCTCATACTGGCAGAATGCTAAGCAGATGAAGCGTTTCTAGAAGCCAGGTGAGCTGTGATCCAAAGTTCTACATCCAACGTTGTAGTTGTCCATCATGGGTGGTTGTAATCATCCGATAATTTCAAAGATGGTTTCACTAAGCGTCATCTTCTACTTGGCGGTATCCTAATAAACCCGAACAGCTGCCGAGCGTTACTCAATGTTGATGCCTTCTTCATCTCTCTCTTTCGACCCCAACCCCTGCTCACGACCGACACGAAGACTCTTGGTCGATTTACGCTTGATTCGCTTCACCTCTTCATCATGGTCAGAGACAGCTGCAATCAACCTTCTAGCATCAATCAGTTCGAACGACGTCACGGAAATACAGTGACGTTTATCAACTTTACTGCTGTTCCTACAACAGACGTAATATTACGCCAGGTTTCCTCAGCATGAGCTTTCCTGTTATGTTCAGAGAAATCCCTAGACAAGCATTTCGCGTCCTTGTCTTCCAGTCGACCATAGACAGGCTATATTATCGCTTGTTTCCTGCGACCAGTAAAGTGTAGACATACCTGCGCATGATCCGAGTCCAAACAGGTAGTCGTCAGACGCCATGTGAGACAGTGTCTCTCCTCATGCCTAGAGTTAGTGCTGGTCAGAAACAAGTGGTTGTCTCGACAAAATTTCAACAGATCATCTCCACTACCGGTTCCTTGGCATGAAATTCCGTGAATACCCCGAAGATGCCTTTCCGATTGGATCACCTCCCCTTCCTTACTTGAGCGTTAAAGTCACCTCTCATTATGATTAAATCTGAACGGTTCGCTTTCTGTAGCAAAACTGACAGCTTCTCATAGAACTCATCCTTTCCATCATCCGAGCTGCAGTCGGTGTGTGTAGGCAGAGATTACAAATAGGCATCAACTAGTCTTACGATCTTTCCTAGTCTTTACACATCCATTCAGTCGAATAGTACATTGACAACTGTTGACTGGTATCCAGTCGAGAAGCGCACTTTCTGTCCTACAGCTCAAACCTACGCATACACCAGCGAGTCCACGAGAACCAGCCATTAGGTCTTCGGCTACTTGTGAGGTGAATTTTGAAGATTCATCGCACTGGTCAATTTAATAACCACACTCGGGGGAAGGTGTAATGGATTTAATATTGGTATCAGGAGGTGAAGGCAAAGAAAGAGACAGAGGTATGGAGAATAAGTTATGTTTGATTGAGTCTTGTGTACTAAGGGGAGTGTATGGGCGGTTGACAGTTCCCAGCTGCCCACGTCGTCGAAGAGTAGTTCTTCGTGAGGTACCTGGAAAGGAAGGGATATTGTGTGACCACAGAGCCCAAATGACATCTCATTGAGGCCTGTTACACACGAGCTTTTGGGTAGTTTGAGATTTTGTTTTGTTTGCTTTTGAATCCGACTGTGAGTACCTGTTGCAGGCATCTGCATACTGCGAGCGGTGGGATTGTGCTGTTTTGGGGGTCAACCTTCTCTAACTCCGACCCCACCACCCTCACATAAGGGATGCAGCATCCTCGTGGCATTGCTGGTCATCCAAGGGAAACACCTTACTGCTATCACACCCCATCCAGCTAGCTGCAGTATGATTTCGCAGCCAGAGGTCGGGGTGGTAGGACACAGCAAACTGTGGCATAGTATACTCAGCCCTAATACGCAATCCGTTATCACGAAGGCGTCATAAATGGCATTGGTGACGAAAACCAGGTCAACCTTTTGTATCCTCTGGAGAGATCTTGTCGGTCACTGACTTGTCAGGCTGATGCAACTTCCTACGCAAGTGAAGAGGTGAACGTATTCAAAACTTTCACTACCTACAGCTCGGAAAAGCATCACTGAAGACCAGTTTTCGAGCAACAATTCGCATTTGAGTGACAAAGCATGCATCATAAGCATTCTTAGATTTCTACTTCCGGTGTAAACAACACTCTACATCTCGTCAGTGCCATCCACCTACTCTGGGTCTGATAGTTATTTCCCTGCGATAAGATGAATCCGTGTGAAGTCAGACGACAAGACAGAGACACCCATGAATACGTTGATGATAAAGTTGAGTAAGAATGGAGAATGGACATCCTTGACACACACTACTCAACGTACACAACTACTCACCTGGTAACTCATCATAGGGTCTGACACACTCAAGGGTATTCAAGTGCAGAGCCTTAAACGAAGTGATATACTCACTCACTCGGCACCCCTTTCAATCAGAAACACTGTCATAAGACCTCTTGACCAATGGAGTTGAATGCCCTCTTCAGGTCGAGAAATGCTGCTAATGTCGGGTGTCAGAAAGTGCGCCTGTGTTCTAGAACTCGGCAGGGAGTGAATATCTGATTAATGCACTCACAACCAGGTTTGAATATTGCCTGATGTTCTCGGGTCTGGTGTTTCCAATCTCCACACAGAAACCTGATGATCATGATCATGATAATAATAATAATAATAATAGAACCTAGAGTAGTGGACATTATGTTCATAGGTTGGTTACGCTGAGTTTATCAAAGGGGATTCATATGCTTTCCGAAAGAGTGGGACAACCAGTGATTGAAACCAGTCAGAGTGGATCATATCTGACTCCCATACACTAGTTGACACTTTAGTAGTTAGTTTTTAAATACATCTGGTACTGGTTTATGTAGCCCTGGTGCTCTTCCTCGTTTCAGGTTACCTGTAGCTCTCTAGACTTCTGTAGGTGTTTGGGGTCCTGTCTCAATAACTCATTCAGGATCTGACTGGGTGAACGGTAGCCTTATACTACTACATCAAGGTAGCAGCTGCCTGTCGTGACAGCAAATTAGGTGTCGTGTTTATCAGCTGTCATCTACAATATGTATCTGCAATGTTGAAAGAAATCACGCTACCTAGTATATTCAAACCTTCATCACTCACTGCTAAAGGCAGCTGCTCGAAGAGTGCCTGCTGATCATATTCACCACAAGCAGATGGCTTGATACGCTTTTAAGATACAATATCATTTGCATAAAAGATATAGTCACAAGTATATAACCTTAGTACAAGTGTTGAGCGACAGTATCAAGAAATGTTAACTGGTGGTATGGTTGGTCAATCAAACCCTACTGCAAGGTTTTGTGAATCGTGTTTTCATAAATAATGCTTGTGAACGGTACCTGGTCAGCAATTATGTGTGAAACTGAGGTATATTGAAAATACGAGTCTTCATTTTAATCTGATCTTTTGTGCGTCTTTAATACGTACACCAAAAGGAATGCTGCTTGAAATTATGAATGATCAGTTGCAGGTAACACTTAGTATTTACGGCAAAATGTATCTCTTTACTTCATGTTCGGAGACCATATGACTATCAGTTAACGCTAGAGGTTTGGTGGAATATCACCACTCCTTTGAAGCATTTGCTTGGACAGCTATCATTAGACGTAACGGAATGAAACTACAAGGCTATTCAGAACGCAGATGGTTGCTGAAGATTCTAAGGTTACTTCCAAATAGGAACTAGCAAGAAGATTATTTGAACAATAAAACATCAGTAATCCTGAAGAAGCCTGGTGCCATCTCCCATCTGCAGAGAAAATAGCATCAAAGGCCGTAACTGACTCCAAGAAAAAGGTTAGAAAAGGGTCAGTGGATCTCAGCAGTTTCTGATGTAATGTGTAGATGTGAACGCCTTCGTCTTAGCTCCAAGCATAATAAAGTGCGGAAGCAACTAAAATCTAGACTGACAGCGTCTATTAAATGATGATAGACAGCAGAGGTTGAAGAGATTGGGAAGGTAAGGTGATCAGCAACAGTAGACAGATATTACGGTTTAACAAGGACACCGTGATGGAAAATCCGATGGTCAAACAGATCGCAGAAGAGATTGCAATTTACTCCCATGAAAGGCAACTGGAACGACAGGAGCAACACTTCGAGCAGCAGTTAGACGCATCTTCAGCTACTGAGAGATCCCCCAACTCTTGAAAAGAACTGCAAATAGCCTTAAATACGGATGTGGCACTGGGTGTATCGACCGGAAATTCAACTTCAGCTAGACACGCTTACCTGTACTAGACACAAGATGATTTTCTAGATTTGAGGACACTATTCGACTCCGTTTATCGAGAAGTCTTACGGCAGTGTTTCTTTCTAAATGGGTGCCAGGTAAGGACACCAGTCTTCTAAAGGCTTTTCATGCAAACACCATGATCGTATTAGAGCCTTTGGTGACCCGTCATATAGGCTATATGAGTCCAGTGGTGTTTATTGAGGTTGTTCACCCTCGCTATTTTTATTAAAATATGACATACAGATATGCCTATAGAAGTCATTGTTTTCTCATCTGCTTTGACACAAATTGACTTTTTCGGAAGAGATACCTCAGTTAACCTAGATTACACAGAAGAAATACTCTGTTTCGGTGTAGATGCAGAGTCTTCTGCATATTTTCTAAGACAAAGCAAACTACTGTTGTGTGCTGTTTCAGTATTCAGGTGGATAAGAGGTCAACGAGGTCTCCGCTCGGAAACAAGAGTCTCGAGTGACTGCCATTAATTAATACCACCTGTGACAGTGAGATAACCGATTTCCTGCCAAGGGTCAAGTGACCAGTAGGACATAGAGAATAGGTACCCGTACTAAATTATGATGGTGCTCTAAGTAGCCACTCCAGATAGAATGGTAATCCTCTATTTATCCTCTCTAAAGATGGCTTATAGCAGTCTGATCTATCTGCTGTCATCACTTTGATTTCGGCGGACGTCATGCGCCACAGTGTCTCTCCTCGTGGTTGAAGTCAGAGTTGACCAGAAACAAGTGACTGTCGGGACAAACTACAAGAGATGATCACCATTGGCAGTTCGTTGGCCGAGGATATTTCCGAAATGCTTTTCTACTTGGCTTAGCTTTCCGAATGGAGCATAAAAGCCACCTGCTACTGGAACTACCTCTGAAAATTTTGGCTTATGTAGTAAAATTGACAGCTTTTGGATGAGCTCATCCTATACAATATCCAAACTGCAGTCTGTAAGTCTTTAGGTGGCACCTTGTAGTAGGCATCGGTTAGTGTCAAATTCTGTTCTAACTCTTACAAGTGCATTCAGTCGAGCATCCCATAGATGATTGAGTGCCATTCAGTCGAGAAGTGTGCATTCCACTCCACAAGTTGGCGAGATAAGATGAAGTGAATAACTCAAGGAGAGATGAATAACCGACACTTACGTTTTATTCAGGTTCCAACTGAATTATATCCAAATAAGGCTTGGTCGTGAGCTGGTTGAACTGTTTTTCAGTGTCCCACCAAAGCACCAATCAAAATGGATTGCAGCAACGAGGCTCCTAGTCTTGTGACCACAGTGCAATCGATAAAATAAAACTAAACTAAGTGAAACTGTTTACTCTGCAATTACCAAACAGCAGATACAGTCGAAGCACGAGCAAAACTCCATCGACTGATCAACTTTCTTTACAGGACACCATCTAATCTCAACATCCTTCACTTTATGGTTCCACAGCATGCATCAACAATAAACTCAGCTGTAATCGACAGATTAAATAAATCCAAACTTTTGAAGATAAAAGCTGCAATCAGCGTATATTGAAGTCAAAGATAAATAGGAGTCGCAGAAGTAAACAATTTTCATGAAAGTCATAAACAAAGAACAACAAAAAGACTAAAATCAAACGCTAAAAAATAAACAAGGCAGCAAGTATTGTTAGGATGGACATGTTTATGGAAGGCACAATTTAGTTATGTTTTCATCAAAAATGTCTGCATGCAGGAAAGAAATAGATTAGGCTGTGGAAGTATAAACGATAAATGCAAATTATTCGACTATATGTGATCCGCATTACCCATCCGCTACCTAGACACGTTCTGAACCTTCTGCACTAAACCATATTCTTTTAGACGTTCTAAAGCCTTGTTAGCACACTCTCGTGTGGCTTTACGATCTTTCTGCTCATAAGCTTGAATTTGTTCATCACTGCATCCTGGATACAAAGATTTAATATCTGATGACACTGGATCTGTTGCGTTGACATCTGGTAGTTGACTCAAGGATAAAAGAACTTCAAGCATATTTGACTGACAAATATATTCAGAAAGGGATCGCTCTCCGTGCAGAACAAAGTTTTGTAGTATATGAGCTGCTCGGTGTTGCAATGCAGACGAAATGTGTCCAGCTAGTGTCTGAAAAATCTCAAACCACGAGGATGCCTAGGTTTTGGAAAATGAATAGAACACGAAAATTAGCTGTCACCCAAAGATGTTGCGATGAAATTATGATATATGAAAAAATATTTCTCAGATACAATAATAAAAGTTACACTGTGAAATAAAAACTCATAGAAGTTACAGCCATAGTAAGAACAAAGATGAGGACTGATGAAATCACTTACTGGGAAATTACACTCAGTTTCAATAAAATATGAAAACATTACATTCAACACAGTTCACGTCAACAGTCTTCGCACTCTACATCCGAGATGAGTTGGTCATCAATTTCTCCTGCTGCTTCATTTGCGTCCACTACTTCCTTCTTATGTTTCTCTCTTCCTTCTTCAGAACACCTACCAATTGGATGGTGACTCTACTCTCTACTCTACTCTCTCAGAAATATCATGCCATACTTGCATCTGTTCGCAAAAGTAGTAGACACTATCCTGGTACGTGTTTTCACGAAACGCATTGACAACATTCAGAACAGTAAACAATTCCAAAATGCTTAAAAGACGAATCATTATTCACAAATGAGTCTAGATTAAAGCTATAGGGTGGGACCAACAAAACTCAAGTTTAGTTGTTACTCATACTACCACAAAATTCACAATTAAATTCGTCAAAATATCGTATTTTGATTAACAAGTGAGATTAAATCTGTGTTAAACTAATGAATTCCAAATCTTGAACATAAATCAATAAGGAAATTGAGCACATAATGCACTGATGTTTTCTCAATGGAGATGTTTTACAAATTGCTTGCTTTTTAGTGTTAGATTTCAGTGTATAAAGAGCATATGTTGGTGGCAGTCACTCAAAATCCACCACAATTTCGAACATTGAACCACTCTGTCCTATGTAAGTTTTTTCAGCGGCTATCTGCCAACTATCCACTTTCCACATTTCGATAGATTTTTTTTGTTCATCTTTCATTTTTGTGCTGTTCCATAGAGTAGTAATTACAACAACCACACTGACTGACGAAACTTTACAACCCTGTGGTTGCCTATTTGGAAGATGGAATAACATTCCCTATCTTATTATTATTACTATTACTACTTTTCACACTTTTTCTACAAAAACTTGTTTTGGGTTTCAATAAGCTACCTCAATTTCTTAGTCTCGATAGCCGATGATAAAAGTGACTATGGTCATTAAGATAACATAAGTAATGGTTCATTAAAATGTTGACAAGGCGTTAAATCTTTACTCGAACAAAACCTTACCAATGATAAAAGAAACACTAACAACTTACACTAGTGATTTTCCGTATAATACCTGGATCGTATGACATACTGGCTAAAGCACCGGCAGCTGCGCGTACAAGTAACAAGTCCTCCAATTCACCACAGTATAATACTAACAGTTTTACACGCTCTGTTGAACATGTGAGACGTGATAACTTTTTAGCTAAATCTGTATCATCTAGTGGTATGCTTCCACCGGACGATACGACAAAACCATGTGATTGTGCTAAATTCGCCATACATTCTGCCGCAGCTCTTCTTATCAGAGGATGTTCTTCGAAAAGACAATGATCAATTAGAGGTAAACCCCGTTCCGCCATTATACGATGACTGAGAAAAATGAATAGAGATAGGTGAGAGTAAAAAAAGTGATTAAAGATGCAGTCAGAAAGTTTGAAAAGTTTATCAGTAACTGTAAAGCGAAACCATGCTAATTGACAAGTTTTATGGCAAAACATGAAATGCAAAACTAACTATTAGTTTTCTCGTGATAGAATGCTCCTGAAAACTAAAATCCCCTCCAATCCATTTTAGTTATAAGTTTAGAATGAATAATGCAGAAATTTCAATAATAAAATCGTTTACAAGCATTCTCTACACACGTAGTTTAGTCCTTCTGGTTCACAGATTTAAGCCCCACTCCACCACCGAGGTTTGAGCAGCCAGGTAGAATTACTCGACCTCACTCAACAAGTGTCGCTCATTACCTACTACATGGATGCGCACAAGGTGGCTGAGTTACGTTGGTTCTTTAGATTATCTGAGAATCCTATACTTAGAACATTGATGTCGATAAGGGATTTCCCACAGATGACGGACATCAATAAAAACAGTTCGCTAACTGTTATCAGATATCTCTCACAATACTGCAGAAATAAAAAGATTGCATAGAGTGAAACAGATAAGACAAGTGAGTGAATGTAGCCGTCTTGCTTGCACTGCTAGGAGGTATACGCATGTAATTCTCACTTTATTTCAATGACGCAACCGTTAAGGCGAAGACACACTGAAATTCAAGTAGCTTACTCAAACAGCTGATATTTAAAATACTGATGCTTTTACCTAGACACTAATAGATACATAGTAGGTTTAATCAAATGATATCAGTGATAGTTTACCAATTTCCAAATTACTAAACTACACACAAACTTTAAGCCAACAAACAACAAAAGTTTTTTCTGGTGCGGCTACTTATTCACCTGACCTCATCTGACCATTATGATGAGCTGAGAAATTTAGTTTATTAGTTTCCGGAGATTTAATGAACAGCCTTTATCAACCTTCTGGTGTGAGTATGGCACTGGCTTTCTTAAAACAGAAAGTGCACTTCTTTACTGAATACTAATCATCAGCCATCTCTGTGCTGTTCAACTAAATGGATCCTTAAGAATTGGGCAGGGTCTGCCCAAATAATGGCAGAGATACTTAAGAAGTGATTGTCGAAACCAATGAGGAAAGCTTTTTCTGCTCACCTCAGGATGGTTTTCTCTAGTCAACAACTATATCAGCAGTGTACGAAGGATAAACTACCTCAATGGGCCACCTCTATGTGTATCTCCTGCTTCTATGGCGTTGCTTAAAATGGTTGCACAAAGCCTGTCCTATCCAAACACATCTCTGAACACTATTATGCATGACTGTTCAGAGGAGAGTGAAGATAAATCAGCAGCTTAATTCTTGAACATCTGGTTAACTTTCCTTGATTAAAATATTCTTTAAAAGTCATTTAGAAAGTAAAATTGAAAAATTCGAAGGGAATATGAACTTATCGCCTGAATATAACAAAAGCCTTAATAATTCCTCAGCTCATTTTTGATCTCTGTGTTCAAAAGGAGTAAGTTCAATCTCTAATATTACCTTGGTTGGAATCTTACTATCAGTTCCTTCATTTTATTATTATTATTTTATCAATAATATTATCTTCATCCTCTTTTCCTTGCTTTATAATTGCTAATCTTAACATTACTTCCTACTTTCCTTACCTCTTTTACTACTTTTTAGATTGTTATGCAATCACCTTGTAATTCTAGAAACAGTTCACTAATACATTCCTAAAATAAATTTTTGATGACGTTTTAGCCATTGATGGAAATATTTTCTTGTAAGTACAAATGAGCAGCTTCTGAAAATGACTCATAGAAAAAAATTTTTTTCTCCAATGAATTGTCTTTTGTTAACTAGGGTTATTTAAGCCCACCCTATAGCACTCTTAAGTAGTTCAGTGAAAGTGATCAACTGATTTTCAGATGCATGAAAATCCACTAATATATAGCATCATGAGTTTCTTTTTCATCACTTACCGATGTGTTTCACTCAATGAGGCTAAATTTGTCAAAGCCAGTAAACCTTCAAAGTTTTGTAATGCACTACAATCTAAGTGAAGTAATTGAAGTAACGGCCGGACAAGTTCTAACGACTAAAAAGTGAGAGAAAAAACAAAAACACATACAGTTTGCAGCCGGGTAGTCGATTTAACGTTTCATCAAGAGATTTAAATAGATCCAGCTGCTGGTAAACTCCCAACTTTCGTTCAAAAATCAAGCTTTTCAACTGTTTGTCACTTGCATGAATAATACGTCACTGTTTCTTTCTAATATCGCATTAGTAACATTCAGTAATCTGGAAGTCGTTGGTTGAATTCCGCTTCAACTAAGGTGTTCAGTTCAACTTGAGAGTTATCATCCTATTGCTTAAAATAGACAAATTAACTTAGAAGTCAGTAAACAAGTGGATCGGTTCAAGCTGTCACATACTTCAAAGCAATATAAAAAAAGAATTGGGTTAAAAAAAAGCGACATTAACGTAGGCAGAATTGTATGTAAAGTAAGGATAAGTAAGCGAAAATCAATGAAACTACTACTTAAGCCTACTAAACCAATATAAAACCGGCTAAGATACTTTATGTGTAGTGGGAAGATTAGCTAAAACATCAACTTGTCAAATTATTCATATGAAATTCGAAAAAGGTCAATAGGAAACAAGAATGAGAAGGATAATAAAAGCGAAACAAAAATTCTTAGTCACATCACTGTTGGTATGAAGTTTAAAACAATACTATTAGACTAGACTCAAAAGAAGTGAAGATCGTATTCGAATACATAAAAAAAGGTGACCCAGGTTTCAATACATTTAAGTAGTCTTCTTTAACCGCTTCTGAGTATTTCATTAAAGCCTGTTTTACGGTAGCCTGTTTAAACCTTGGGCTACCGAAAATTTCCCACCCAATATATTTAGTTAAATTCTTCCCTTTCAATTTTTTCTAATCTTATAAATGTCTTTCAAACGAAAAATGTGCCCTCGCGCACTTTTAAAATGGTTTCAAACGGCCGTTTTTTCATGTTAACAACAAAACAAAGAAAAAAACGTTAAGCTGCTAAAAGATGGGTTTATAAATGCATAGAAATACGGTACATTATTATACCTTGGATAACATTATCGCTTTGTAGACTATGGTACTAGCTGAACAAACTCTCACCACCGAATTACGCTCGATTTTATATGCATTCACCAGTCGAAAACAGACGCTAGTTCAACACCAGGTGCCTGTTTCACATTGTGGCTTTCATACTGTTATTATTAACATTATTCAAAAAAAATGATTATTTTGCTTAAAGATATTGGACAGGGAGCGGAATCGCTGAAGTATTTACATGCTGAGAATCCCACAGTGTATCGCACGTGTAGTTTGGAATAAATCTGCAATTATTATTATCATTATTATTATTACCATCATTATCAAAAATATGACTAGTTGTTAGTATGCGTTCAAAGATATTTACCTACATAGTCAACCATGAACGGCGAAATATTACGATTAGTCGTCAGTTTATGTATCTACATGTGTAAACTAATGGTGAAAATACTGACGAGGAGTGATGAAATCACTTACTGGGAAATTACACTCAGTTTCAATAAAATATGAAAACATTACATTCAACACAGTTCACATCAACAGTCTTTGCACTCTACATCCGAGATGAGTGGTCATCAATTTCTCCCGCTGCTTCATTTCCATCCACTACTTCCTTCTTATGTTTTTCTCTTCCTTCTTCAGAACACCTACCAATTGGATGGTGACTCTACTCTCTACTTTCTTATCTCAGAAATATCATGTCATACTTGCATCTGTTCGCAAAAGTAGTACACATATTACAATCAGATTCTGTTTTCGTTTGTGTTAAAGTATGGTCTTTATTTTCTCTGTACTGAAAACTTTGGACATACATTATGTTTTTCTAACTGTTAATCGAAGTTTTTTCACGATAAGGGTGGCTGAATCAGCTCTGAATGAGAATGAACACTAAATAGATCTCAACGGTCGATAACTTTGACCTAATCGACAAACTTCAACAGGTATCTATTCTGTATCAGTGTTACAGTCAACAGCTTGACTTCCCCTTAATTTGTGTCATCTTATTAAGTTGACTAATCTGTGTTTGTATGGAATAGTAGATATAGGATCTAAGATATTCATTCCCCTGTCCGATTTGGTTTCTTATTGATCAACCCATCCTTCTATCAATAAATGAAAGTGATAGACGAATGTTAGTCTCTTCTTGATTAATGATTGCTGATGTGGTGTCGAGTAGTACCAGTTTTCTACTAAAGGTGTGCCGCGTCTTAGACATAAAACAGCTGTATCAAAGATGTATCTCTTATGATGTGAATTGATCCTCATAAGACTGTTATCTAGATTCCTAGAAGATGACATGTTTACACTGATTAGCAAGGGTTCAACAAGACTACGGCAACATCCTTAGCCGATGCTATTTCATCTTGGACCACAATTATCAAGAGAAATATCTACTAATTGAACAGTTAGTCAGTCCTGATTGTCTGAAGATTTGAAAACCAATAAGCTTGGTTGATCATAGACATTGTCTACATAAAATGTGTTATTCATTTCAGGCAAATGTATATCACCAGTCTATGCTATCCTTACCAGAATGAATACATGAGAGCAGCCGGAAAATTCAACATGCAATTCCACAACACAATTATTCTAAACTTACTCTTTGACCAGGAAAAGTGACGCGTGGATCAGCAGTGATGGTTAAACGTGCAAGAGCTTGAGAGGCTAAAGTTTTCCCAATATCTGTGTTGTAATTGAGAGCCAACTTTAGGAGAGCTTTTCCACCACCACTTTCAACAAGTTTTCCACGACAGTCAACTAATTCAGAACAGGCCAAATAAATACTGAAATGAAAAGTTAGCTTTTAGCTAGTGCAAACGAATACAATTAGAAAAACTAAAGTAGACAAAGAGTAATACCAAATGCAGAAAGTTCCATGTTGCAGAATGATAACAAAATTGTAGAATGCACCATGAAGTGGTTTCAAAAGTTCTTTAGTGTTAACTTTCTTGTTATCAGTATCTACACTGAAACTAATAATAGTGACTTTACAGGCTTGATTAGAATGATACACACCACTCGCAGCATAAAAGTCATCTGATAGACCACCATAGACGGTAAAACGCTTATGGGCGTCCGAAAACGTATTTTTTTAAAAATGTAGAACCATTTCATTGAAGGACACTGGTATTGGATTTCTCACGATTGACGCAGTCTAATCCCATCTTCAGATGGAGAAAAAAAGCTTGTGCCGTGTGTCTGTGTTCCAAGAGGGTGAACACACATATGGTCGACAAACGCACTTCCAGATCTGAGAGGTACCTGGTTTTCTCCTGTTCGCCGTTACTGAGCTTCACCTAAGTGTCTAATGATATTCGGACTTAGAATCGTAGACACTATGTTCATCAGACTTATTCCTCTGAGATCATCACAATAGGCTATCTCCACTTTTTTTGAAAACTAGGAGAACCAGTGATCTAGACCCGCTATAAGAGGTTACATCAAATTACCATTGGCGAGCCAATAATTCAGCTGATCTAGTTCAAATTTCTCAACCACCGTACTTCAATACTTCCAGTACTGCCTCATTCATATTGATTGATCACAGGAGCAACCAATCCCATGTTTTCTAGTCTTGAGTGCTGACCAAATTCTGTTGGTCATTTAACAATGTGGCCACCAAGTTGAAAGGTCTCCTGCTGATTGCCTCCAATCAACTAAATACCTCATTCACAGCTATTTCCCTTCACCATTTTAGTTTACGTAAAGCCAACTCAACTTCTAAGTGTTAGAGGGTTTATCCAGTGTTTCTTTCAGTGTGCAAACAGATAGCAGGCAACCCAAGGGTCCACTGAAGTCATATTAGCTTTTTTTTATTTGATTTACAACACACAATGATATATTATTATTTAATTGATGAAGATCCGAGCATAAATTATTTCTCATAATCATATCAATGTAATCACACTACTTTCGACATTTGATTTTTATAGTTACTTCACCTAATATGATTTGTTTTTATCGGTAGTAAAATCTTCCATATCTATGGTATAGGTGTTGCGTCATTTCTACTACATGTGTTGGGTGTTGATTCGATGAACAAAGATTTAGTAATCAATCTCTCTCTCCATTTACTTACATTGGACTTAAGTACAGTGGCTTTGTTTCACTCTATTGAGTGGTTGTATGTTAATGCATCCAATGCAATAGCCGAGTTTTTCCTCCAGATTATTGGTCTTATTCAGGTCTGTCGTTCTACATTTGGCTTAATTCCTATATTCGGCTATTCTAACTGACCCCGACCGACTAGTTTAACCTATGTACTTGACCTCACAGTCATTGTATGCAATTTGATAGATTAGATTATTTTGCTTAATTGGTTCTATTGGATCTTTAAGCCGACAAAGCTTATCTCTGAGTGAGTTTGTAGGTTTAAATCCCACCCTAATACCAGCTTAGTTGAGGATCCTACGTAAAGTTTCTGATGTGCCTTTCTTGTAGGGTAACACAATGGAGGCTGTGAACTCCTTTCTGCTTGTTGTCGTTATCATTCGTACTAGTGTTACTGTTATTTTTTCGTTTCTTGTGTGTTCGTACGAATTTCTTGATAAACTGCGGTGGATAATTATTAACTATTAGTGCTTCTTTTACGTGTTTCTTGTTTAAGTCCTTGCACTGATTAGTCAGTTTTCTAGCTCTATCACTTAGACATTTGACTAAGCCTGCCTTAACTGACATTGCATAGGATGACTTGAAGTCTAGATACCCGCTGGAATGTGACGGTTTTCTGTAGACGAAAGTATCTAAACCCCCCGTCTATCCTTCGTTTTATCTTGCAATCCAACATAGGTGATTCTCCTTTTTCATTTTCTACCTCATAAGTGAATTGGATTGCGCCTACTACTGAGTTTATATGTGTCGATATTTTCCGATTTCAACACAGTGAATGTGTCATCCACATATCACCACCATATTTTTGGTGCAAGACTAAACGTTCGTATGGGCATGTTTTCTCAACTATCCATAAACATATCTGCTATGATTGGGGATATTGGTGATCCCAGTGCTACTCCTTCTGTTTGTCTGCATATTTTGTCCTGAAACTTGAAGACTATGGAGGTCAGGAACAACTGTACGCCTAATATGATCTCATCAACCGATATCTAAGTTCTCTGATTCAGTTATGAGTCAATATATTTAGTTGACCTCTGACTGCTTCCAGTGCCATATTGATTGGTATTTTATTATAAAGACTTGTTACATAGAAGCTAACCATTTCTTCATCCTCTTCTATATGTAGGTCATTAAGCATTAGTTTTAACTCGTAACAGTTTACTACTCTGAAATTTGAACTCGTTTTCCCTCCGAATGCATGACAAACACGTTCCTGTCCCAGGTTTTTTCACAAGTTTACATAATTATCACTTGTCGCATATCGCTAACCCAATCTCTTCAACCTTTGCTGTTCAACACTACACCCGGTTATTGCAAACTTTAATGAACATATACCTTTTTCTGAGGAGCAATATCCATTGAGCTTACAAAAATCCAAATCCATAAATGTGTTTCCCAACATTAACCAATGAGAGGCAAAGAATGAATATAGAAAACTCCATTTTCGAACAACTCGTTATCTCCGAACATGTGATCCCTTCTTAAAATTCTTTTAAAGAAATCTGTAGTCCCTGAATAACTAGACAGATATATACCCTACTACATAATCAAGTAATTGCCAACTGAGAAATTCAATAATAGTAATAATAATAATGACCTTATTCTGAATGATATTTCAGGAATGCTGTACAGAATTTTCAGCATGTCAGATGGCATCAGCTGGACAGAAACAGTGTGTATGTATACATAATAAAATAAGTATGAATTACGTATAAAAGATAAGAATATTTAATTCGTCCACAACTTTATTGAAAATGCAGAGCTTGCTTAGGTTAACAGTCACACTAGCAATTAGATTCACAACACACAAATAACAGCACGCTGTGTAATCTTTAATTAGTTTGCTCATAAAAAACAAAAGTTGATTTATCAGTTCATTTCTAACACTTCCCTCCTACCATAGGATACGAGCTAAATACGATATTGTAGAGATTTTATATTCAACACATGCATAAAGTCTTATATACTAGCTCTTGGTTTTGCCTGATGACCGACACGTAGAGAGTCTTGAGTGAATAGGATCCTGGGCATCTGATAAAATAACTCCTCCCAGATGTTTACATGAGTTAGGAAGTTTATCTACAACAGATTCAACTACAAGGTTTAGAGGTGCACCGATACCTCCTCTGATAATCTGCAAAGTTCTACGCAATACAGGATAGTCTTTTTTTTAGCAAACCAGGAAAGAATAGAGGGGAATCGACAAGAAGCAGAAGTTTATAAAATACAAGAGAAGAATCTGAGTCATACCAGCTACTCTCAACTTCTTAATATGGTAAATTCGGCGGAAGATTCTTTGGGAAATTAGTAAGACATGGGAAAACTGGGAAAGGTTCGAAGAAAAATACACCGGATAAACCACACTTGTAACATTTTCTAATATACAGCCACCCAATAGAACAGGAATCATAAGACTGAAACAGTTTACGTTCGTTACGTTCTCTTCTGAAACTAAAGTTTATAATCTGACATTTTGAAAAACAAGGCATAAGATCATTTACACAGGACCATCGTCCAATAGTAGATAGGAAATTCTTGAGTTGGGAACAATTTGTTGAAGAGGAAACAGGTATGGAAACTGTCAGGTCACCAGTATATTTGGTAAAACTATTTGGACTTGATCTTAATGTTAGAAAACCATTTACACTCGCCGACCTTGTGGTGAGTAAGCCGCTTTCGTATTTATTACATACTATCTTCCTTCACATTTTGTTCTTACTTCTTCATTTCGCTTTTAAATTATTCTTTCCACTATATGATTGTCACTTAAAATACAGGATAGTTAACCGATCCCTTTCTATAGATAGAAATATACAGCTTTTGGAAATTCGATCGCTGAAGAGAAAACTTCCGATGATTGATATTAATTCTTTTGATGATGCTCTGATTGCTTTACACACTACAGTCATTCAGTCACGTTATATCACAAATTTCACCAACGAACAAGGTATATGACTGACGTTACTCATTATAACGTAGCGACAAAAGGCAGCCAATAGGGGAGTTGTTTTCAAGTCATGATCAAATCATGTTCAGGTCATGATTTATGCATGCGCTGACATGAGAACCTGATTGGAGAAGTTCGACCTCATACGAGAAATCGGATTGGTTCATTTATGGCTTCACTTTCTGAGAGTTTTGTAAATACATATATGTCATGTATTTGCTCAATAAAAAGTTGTCGTTGTTCTTGCAGTCACAGGTCGTCTTTGTCTTCTGATTTTTCCGCGGCTCAGTGAAGCAGAAGGTACCGAGGGAGGTCAGTCGTAAAGGTATTCGGTTGAGGTGTCTATTGAGTCTTAGTATTCATTACACCCACGCGCGCAACCCCACCACTCAGTCACAACACTTATCAATACCGTTACCGTTGACAGGTATATTAACTGGGATAGGATCACGTATATTTAAAACCAAGTGATTAGCTTACCGTGAAATTAATTCAGACAAACCGGTATTTGATCCGACCAAAGCAGTAGCTATACGCATGGTTAACTGAAATAACGCCGATGGTAAACCCATTTTAGTCAATATCAAACGACGTTTTTGAATATATTCCTCTGAATCATACAGATGATCTTCTGGAATATGCTGTTTAGAAAATTTGGCTAATTCAAGCAACTCTGGTTCAATTTGCTGACGCTCAAAACTATTTGTCAGATGAGCTAGAACACTGCACAATGCAAATGATGAATCCTTTTGACAGTACTGAAAATTAATTGGATTAATACAGCAGGAGAAAAAATTGTGGAATCAGCTTGAAGACAATGAGAAATATAGGACTGTAGAATTTTAAAAACATACCAATGTAATTTTAAAGTATTCATTTCAACTCAATATAAAGTAGAGAGCTATCAAAAGTCTATGGACACAACTGTTCAGTACCAGTTTATTGTTCGACAGTAGTGAGAACCTACAATCTCTTCCGAGACCGCGTCATGACCGTTAGGTCTCTTGGTGACCACGTTGATAATTAGCGACTGAGTAGGAATCTAATGGTCAACTGTATCGATTCGTGACATACGGCGACTGTCATACAGTGTAAGCAATGAGTAACTTTCTACACAAGAAATGGTTGATCCCATAAGTCACAACTCCTCACTAGAAGCTCAGGGTAAAATCACGAACCGAGTCACTAATGAGAACTGGCTACCAATTCAGTTTGGGAAATTGATTTCAGTTCATTCGCGGTTTGGTAGATATGTACAGTTTCAGAGCCCCAAAATAAGAAATAAATAAGTGCTCTCAAGTTTCTGATGATTCTCTATGTTATGTCAAATCGCAATGTGTATATTGGAACTAATCAATTCCCCGAAAACCTCCCAATTGAATATTAGCCTCCATTTACCCATACACCTCCACATCAAGTTCACAACATAGTCATTTTAGAATAAATAAATGAGATATTAAGCATGTAAAAAATGTCAGCACTAACCTTAACGGAAATGATTCCTAAGAGGCATTTTTAATAGTACCCAACATACAAAACGAGAGTGTGACTGGATTCACAGCTTATCTCAATCGAATTACTTATTCCTACATTTCTTTCGTTTACAGATATCAACCCAACCCTGGTCTCAGTTCTTTTACATGTTGAGTGAATTTTAGCAAAAGTGAAGAAAATGCCGACATAGAGATGATGTTTCATAAAGGATACAGAGGAAGTTAAGGGCCTCTCTTGTCAGAATTTGTCGGGTCGTGAAACCAAACTTTCCGTATAGCATAAGGCGAGTCATGTGTAGATCTAAGAGGGAGAAGTACCCATGCAACTTCGCCTGCTACTGCATTTACAGTCTCCATGTCAGTCTTCGATGAATAACAACTTGAAAAATTCATATGTGTTTACGAAAGACAAACTTGAACGGTTCGAAACTGATCACAGTCTTAATCGCAAAGCCATTAATTCGATCTAGAACAGCATGAACATATTGAAAACCTGTAAATCAGTGGAAAATTCCTGTCATCTAGTTTTGTAAAATTCATAGTAATCAAATACCCTGTTCCGGAAAAGATAATGATCACAATACCATCGAACCGGTCCACTGTTTCATGTTTTCTTATTCAGTCTATTGGTTTTTCTTATCTGTCTCACACATTTACGTAATACAATATTTACTATTTATTTGCTTGTTTTTGTGATAAATAAGTTATTATTACTATAATTATCTCATTATCATTATGATGGTGACAACATTCCATTATTATTATTGTTGTTGAAATGCTGGAAAAGATTTGTAGCTCAGAATGAGAATGATGGTGATTTGATGTTCTCTGAGCTTTGATATTTTGTCGTCAAAGTTTCATCGGCAGGCTTAGTGACATATCCAGCACTAACTTGATAAGCCTAGTGATGAAGCGTTCATGACGATATATCAAAGCTAAGAGAACACCAAACCACCACCATTATTATTATTTACTACTTTTTGCTATTACCTGTCATTTATTATTATAACTATTTCTTATACCTGCTGCTGCAACTTGAGGATCTGTCTTCCAATTACCCATAAACAAACAAACTTTATCACCATCATTAGCATAGCCAGTATTTTCCAATAGATTTTACCAGTTATATTCTCCTAAGTGTATGGTTAATTCTTTAATCTGACATTAAAGTATGTTTCTTACTTATCCCATACCAACTATGGATGCATTCTAGGCTTTTTGCAGTTGAGGAAAAGCAGTAAAATAAATCTATTCTGCAAATCTTGTCATTCTTCACTGGATGAACATTGTAACACATTGTAACAGAAGCTTAACACTCAATTCATTCAGCAATGAAATAGGCACATCAACGTTAACCCAATATAGTAGAGTCAGATTATAAACAAGAAAACAACAACAAATTTAGAGGTCAAGGTGACCAGATAACCAATTGGAATACTTGTGCAGAAAATGATAACAATCTATCCCATATTAGGTCATCAGGACAAGTTATAAGGCTATTTGTGGATAAATTTTCATGGCGCACATCTTACTGATTTCTATGCTGACAATGTGTTTTAGAATGACAATTCTAGCTTTTCAGTCAAACAAACCAACTCAGAGGTCACAACACTATCAAAATAAAAATCATAACCTACTTGAGCAAACAGTAGTAAAGCTGTCAGGAATTCACAGTCCTTAGTAATTTCTTCTTTCACATCTGCATTCATTGTTAAATAGGCCAGGCCTTCGACAGCCCAATGAGCGGACTCCAAATCTTTGAAGTGAAAAGCAGACCGACTGACAGACACATTATTCCCATTAGTTTTTACAGATTTACACTCTGTCTTCTCTTCGATTTCATTCACATTATCGTCGTCATCATCATCACCGAGGACAACTTCTCCCTCGGAATTAAAATGTACATCAGCTGACTTGTTTGCAGCTACATCATCAATATCAGGATCTGGTTGCTCTATACCCAGTAGTAAACGGCGACATGCTTTGAGTAAGAGCAGATTTGAACCCTCTGTAAGACTTTTAACACTAGCATCAGTACCGCCCGCCGCGCCAAGTTTACACAAAGCCTAAAAAAGTAATACGTGAAATATACGGTGTATTCCGTGATATTCACAATTCCTTTAAACAGTATACAACCTAATAGTTTTCTTTTAAGATGATAAACGTCAAAATATGTACAATTTCAATGAATATTCAGGGAATAGAAAGTAAGTTAATGAAAAAACATAGTCAAGAGAACAGCTACCTAAATCATTGCTAGAAATCTCATACAATGTATGGTCGTTTTTCAAAAAATGAGCGCAGATAATCCCGTTTTCTCTTGACAAACATTATTTCTGACACGGGATACTATCAACAGAACAGACTACCATCAACTTCTGTCGGATCAGTGAACCTAAGCTATCCAATCCATTCGACCTACGAACATAAACTAAAGTCGGGGTCTACCTCTTTTGTCATGCCATGTTACCTACCTGAACTACTGCATAATAAGAATTTGCTAGTCAACAAGTAAAAAGCTCCATAATGCAGCTACTTTTTTCATAGTACAAACAGTCAATCAAAACGTTTCAAGGTACCTTCAGGAATCAATGGTGCGAAACAACAAAATGGAAACCAAAGACAATGTATTCCGTTTGAAAGACTTCATTACTCAATAATTTTCGTTAATCTATTCTGAAAATGAAATGATTTATAGTCATACATTATGGTAAAAAAAAAACCTTTTTTGAATAAAGTAAGAACAAAGACATTTCCAGAATAAAAATGAACTCATTTTATTTCACGACCTCTCATCAGCTAGCTGTAAACAGCCTAGAATTGAGATGAGTTATTATAATTATAATTACAATTAATATTGTTATGATTATTATTATCATTATTACCAATAATAATAATGACACAACACATTTTATAAATATAGAAATAAATAATGATTTGAAATCTAGGATTAACACTAAGGTAGTGAGTGAGTTGAGAAAACACAAGCCTAATAATCATAAATTTTAGTCAAACTCAATGGGAATTTATGCACATTTGATGAGGTGGAAAATTCTGAAGTTGTGGAAACGGAAGAGGACAACAAACAGACAGGAGTGTAAAAGCTTCCCTACTGCCAGACTGATCTTGGTTTACAATACAGTAAGCTCAGTAACATAGTCGAAAGTAAACAAAACCCAGCTCACCTCACCTAATTTTCAATTGTGTGTATTAATTCATACGTTTATGGAAGCAATTACATAAGAAGGATCGAAAGAAGGGCACCTACTTTATTTTATGAGGATGTTCCAAGAAATCTGTATGTGGAAAAGTAGCAAGGTCTTTACCAGAGCAATATCCAGGTACCTGGTGGAAACAGAACATCAAATAGATATTTCTCAATCATTCAGGATAATCAATAAAGAACGTCATGTTTAATGATGGGTCGTGGCTAGCAGTGGAATCCAGGACGAAATGCGCACCCTGGACTCCACTGCTAGCCACGATCCATCATTAACATAATTAGAACGCTGGCAATATCGAGGCATCCGCACAGGAGCCCATATGCTAATAGAGACCGATCAATTCGGTCCAATCAACGACGGTATCATAAAAACAATTATGCTATAAACGTCATATTTATTACGGTTTATGGAAGCTATCACTATCAAACATGTTCAATCTGACCTGTGTACTCAGAAAGAGACTGCAATGAATCTTTCTTTACCCTGGTAACTGCATACGAGTTTGGCTTTCCTTTTTTTGTCGACTGTATCTATCTCTTCATTAATTACTTGCTGACTGGTAGTCACTCAGCCCAACGCTTTTCTAGTTCCTTCACGTGATTGCGTAACCTACTAGCTCTTTAACAATCCTTTCTTCCACGCTCTTGTCTGCTTGTTGTCCTCTTCCGTTTCCACAACTTCAGAATTTTCCACCTCATCAAATGTGCATAAATACCCATTGAGTTTGACTAAAATTTATGATTATTAGGCTTGTGTTTTCTCAACTCACTCACTACCTTAGTGTTAATCCTGGATTTCAAATCATTATTTATTTCTATATTTATAAAGTGTGTTGTGTCATTATTATCAGTAGTAGTAGTAATAATAATTATAATTATAATAACTCATCTCAACTCTAGGCTGTTTACAGCCAGCTGATGAGAGGTCGTGAGTTCATTTTTATTTTGGAAATGTCTTTGTTTTTACTGTATTCAAATTTGTCGAGAGAAAAAACCATTTTTTGTCAATAATCCTTCGAATGTAGACTTACAGACAAACGGCTTGTCAGTAAAGAAAACGATCGAAAACACTTTCCATCAAAATAGCCAACGCTTGAACATTTCTCCCCTACATTACTTTTAACTGGGTCAGTAAGTTCATGTACAGATATCTCTGGAAATCGGAGAGAAGCATGTACCTCCATGTGTTTGAACATATTTCGAAATTTTTGAATAAAAATATTTAACAGTGCAATTGCTTATCATCTCTACAGTAAGTATGCTGTTGGCATTCCTAAATCACTTAAGGTAAGAAATAAGCAGATGAAATAGAATTTAATGTTTTCCATTCAAGCGACAGCTATCAGACAACTCAAGCCTAACTTTTGCATTGAGAAGGCATCATCATCAGTCTCTGAGTACTACAATAGACATTACATGCTTAGTTTATGTGCGATTGTTATGTCACACCTGTTTATTCAGATTCGTTCTAAATTCATGCTTTTTCTATCTAACTGTCACTCAAATTTATCCACATACCTTGACTTTTTGATTAGCAGCTACGCTTATGAACACTTCTTGTGACTTTAATTACTTAAGGAGAATGTTAACTTCCCTTAAAAACAATATTTTACTGTTGACTTGACTGAAGTATACAATACACGTTGTGAAATGATCGAAAAGTTTTTTTAGCTCAGGATGATGACGATAGCGTATGAAATATGTCATCCATACATTTTCATGTCTAGATTGTTTTAGGCCGTAAATACAGTTAAGTGAAGGTTTGTATTCAGAGGAGATTTACCAAAAAAGTTATAAATCTCCATTGACAGACATATTTATGTTCTGTATCGGGTATACTCAATAATGAACTGGTTCAACAAACCATTTCGGATTAAGTAACAGTGATATGCAAAGATCTCTAGAGTAGCCACGCAATAGTTTATGCCATATGAAATCGAATCCCACAACTTACAACCTTCAAATAAGAGTTTTACTTTATGAAGTGGTCAACGATGTAAGCTAAAAATAGTCTGAATGACATTCCCCAGTTATTTCTACAGGAAGGTACAATTTATGGCTTCAATATTTTCTTGCATTCAAACTTTTGCAGATCACATTCTCCAGTTTTAGTGTACTTCACAATTTAGTTAGTTTTAAACAGATCTCACAACTATCTAGTCAAGGTCTGTCAAATGGAACCAGCAATTTTTGTCAACAGTCAAGTATCATCAAAATCTCCTGCAGTTTCCTCATCGACCTCAATCAAGGAACCTACACTTCTCTAAAGCTCTACTCGACTACCCATTATTGCGCTAGGACTAGTTAACGCTAAAACTTAATAATCTATATCAGGAATTCGGGAAGTTTATCCCCATCAAAGTAAGTCGTCTAAAAAGAATAGTGAATTATTATCTCAAGTTGTGAAAGTTGGTAAAACACACACTACAGATTAAAATGAGCAAAACAGACAACATAATATTAAATCTGTTAATTAATTTTATTAGCTTACTACAAGTGCTCGAATTCTAGTTCCATCATTTTCACTTTTATACAATGATTGTAATAGGGGGACAGCTTTTGAAATGATGCTTAAACATTGTTGCTTTTTATGTGTAGCGATGACAATGGTATCCAATGCAACTGTCTGAAAATTGACACAAAGTGAAGAAAAAGTGGGAATAAATAGGAAAATCACAAAATCAATGAATTTATGAATATGAATACGGATGTGTTTTCTAATTCAAGTGAGATGTCCGATACAGGCTTTTATGCACTTGGTTATTGTTTCAGTGTGGAATAAGACTACCAAAATTCTCATAAGAAGTCGTAAACCCCTGAAACCTTTTTCAACCAATCGTTTTGTCCCCAAGTTCTGAGAGAAAGCACATGAACTGACGTGTGAATATCAGATTGGTTGAAGGGACCAAAATCAATAGGACATTCAAATCTAGAAAGGCCTGGAAATAACCAGTCATTGTAAACACATATAAACCACTGTATTTTGTATATATATTTGACATTAAAATATACCTTCGTTATATCACAGCCGTTTCCACTTATCAAAAAATTGAGCGAGCATCAAGAGGTGGAAATCTAAAGACTGTTATTCAAACGTCCAAATATACAACAAGGATATAGCGGTTATGAATCATGCTAATTTTGTATTAAGGTTTGTTATTAACCAGTCCGGGTTCAAGAAAGTAGGAGAAGAATATGAAACTAAGATCCGTTGGTCTCGATGATAATCAAATTTGTGTGATAAAAATAAAGTCAACATTATATCATAATAGAAACCAATAACTTTTGTATTGTTCGACACGATCACCTAAGTGATTAACTTCTGATGATAACATCAAGGCATTACGGTTTCTTCTTTGTAAACAGATATGCCTAAGCGGATAGTGACATTCATCCTGACAAAAATATGACATATGAAGTAATATGTGGACCATTTACACAATAACTGACCCACACTACTGACAGTTAATAAATGTAACAGTTCAATAAAGTTGAATGACAATAAATTCGATCTTAACAATGACCATTACAATACTATCTTGAGGTTTATTAATTGATTTTAGGTTGGAATTGATCATGGACTGACATCAGTTAGAGGAAGATTAGAAACCTGGGAGCACTCCTCAGGAGTGCGCACCCCTCGCCACCAAGGATCGAAACTAGGACCTTCAGGTTCCGTAGCCAGCACGTTACCATTGAACACTGGGTCGGAACTGATAGAAGTAGAAAATATGGACCACTGGATTCCGACCCAGTGTTCAGTGGTAACGTGCTAGCCGCAGAACCTGAAGGTCCTGGGTTCGATCCCAGGTGGTGCGGGGTGTACACTCCTAAGGAATCACATACTAGGACGAAACAGCCTTCCAGTGCTCCCAAGTTTCCAATCTCCCTCTAATCGATGTCAGTTCATGATCAATAACCAATTAGGTATCTTTATTCGATTAAAAATTACATTTCCGATCGAAATAAAGATTGCTAATAGTCCATTCAAGGTACCTTTTAATGTCAATCTTATAAACATCATTATCAGGTTATTAAACTTGAAAACAGCGTGTGAGAAATCAGCTAACTCAGAATGTGTTTACCGATAAGGCTGAATTCCTTAGATTTGAAGTATCAGAAAAGGTTCCCATGGCATATAAGAATCAAAACTTAAAAGAATGATGTTTTGTGTAGCAATATGTTCTTTGAACGATGTGTTTTATTCATGGAATCTTCACTGTCTTCCTAGATATTGAAATGAGTATACTTTTTTTAACTTAAATTGTCGTCATATTTTTGGTTCGGTGGTGAAATGCACAAACCGCAGTTTTAATAACAAAACGAACCAGATATCTTAGTTCGCTGGATATTTAAGTCAGTAGAATCACTGCCGGAAAATTAGAAACTCAAGTGTACAGGAAATCAAAGCTTACTGATCAAATCTGCAGCTACAGTAGCAACAACCGAACAACGTACAAAATTAGTTGTGAACAGACTCTATTCAAAAGAGCGAGAAGACACTGCAGTACTTCAAGAAGGAACGAAGAAATTTACTTGATATCTATCCTAAAGAAGAACGGCTACCCACAAAACTTTATCAGAAGATGCCTATCCCGTTCATCACCAACTACAAATACCTTCGCCAAGCATGAAATTTCATGCCAGCATTTGTTAAGTATTCAGGTGAAATTAGACAACTCATAGACAAAATATTAACATAACCAACCTGGTAGAGCTTGTTTTCACACTGTGTCAGAAGAAGTAGTCCATCGAAAACACCTTCTTGAGAAATTACTGACGAACCAACTTCATAAGGTCCAAGAAATAGTGTACCAATAACAGACGCAGCCTCAACCTTAGTTTCCAGATAATGATCGGCGAACAGATCGCTGCAAAACATATTACGAAATATAAATACAAGAAAGTAGTCGGTAAATACATGCAAACAAAAAGCAGTGCTTCAATTCGAAGGTATTCGGCTTCAATTACATTTACATTTCAACGATTAATTACTACAAAAACAGTCAGAAAAAAACACAGGAAGACTCTTAGTATACAGTATAAAAATTAGACTTCGGTAACCTGCACAGCTCCTATGGAAAAAGTTATGACACACTTAACGCATAGAGGCTTACGCCACTCACTATCCGGTTGTTTAGGCCAACTGTCCAATCCAACAAATCAAACTTCCACGACTTATCTCGTATTAGAGTTGATTTCATAAAACACTTCAGTAAAGATAGTATTTTTGACTTTCACCGTAATCATTGGAAGCAAATACTGAATTATCAGAGAAAGAACAGGACTAGGTTATTGGTTAGAACACGGCGTGACATGCCCGGCAAGTGTTCTGAGAAGCCTAGATAAATCATAATATCCTATCTTTAATAAACTGACTCAAAACTACATAGGAAATCTCAGCACGGATATAACAAGCCCGTTTGGTATTTGCCAACTTGCGTCATCTGTGGCACCGACTGGCAAGATAACCAACTTTCTATCAGGAGACGAGTATACGCTGCTGGAGTCCGCTTTGTCCTGTTATACAGCTTTGAGACATGGCCGTTGAAAACAGGAGATATGAAGCGGTCACAGGGTTTTCGTCATGTGGCTTCGGAGAATTGCTGGCGATTGGTGGAATCACTGTGTGAGCAATGTTGAAGTCAGGAGAAGGGTATTGGCCAAGATAGGCAAGTCGATTGATGAGGCTATGAGCCTTCATCGGATGAGATGGCTTGGACATGTACTGCGCATGCCGATCCACCACCTAACTCGACGTATCATGCTACGGGAAGCTGGGTTAGGTTCGGTGAGGGTGGCCAAATTAAAACGTAGCACCAGCCAATAAAGTCTCTGACTGTTGACCTGAGTTGTGTGTAGTCTGTCAGAGGATATGAATCAGTGGTTGAGTACTCTCTTGGTGAAATGGCTGAAAATCGGTCGATGCGACACATATGTATACACCGCTTGATGTCTCATAAAGCTTGAATATTTGCATTAACCTTTATCTTCAAATTGTTGCTTCTCTCATACAACTTTGCTTACTTTGATATCATTCTGATTTTATCCACTAGTTCTTTGTATACTACTGAGAAGTGTGGTTCTACGTTGATTACGTCTATTTATATGTCAAAAGTGCATTTCCCTTTCTAGCTAATAATTCTTATATTCACCCTAATGGATAGTTTAAACATATAAATGATCAAAAAATAACAGGACTAAAAAAGTTAGTGTGGAGTAACTTTCTAATACATTGCGACAGTACGATTATTTTGACGGTGGTTTGTAATGCTATCCTCTGGACATTCTTTTAACTTACCATAGTCTTGTCGTCAAAATATATCCATCCATCCATCCGAATCAACCTAGGATTAGGCATTACTGCGTAACAGTCCGAGTTGCCACACCTCATATCACTACATCAAGTAAAAAAGCAGTGAGGCACAAGATGAAGATAAGAGAATGCAGTCAAAAGAAATATAAAGTACGAAAAGAGAGAAACCATGAATGAGAAAGTGGTGAGATTGGGTATAGCATCGTTAAGATAAGGATAATGTATGTATACATCTGCACCACTGACATCGGTTCTCAGTCATATCACCTAGAGTCTCCAACCACTGGTTCCTCTTGTCCCGCCGACCCCAACCACCTAGTCATATCATTCAGTTATTTCTCTTCGAGTAATTGTTTCGAAATAAAACGAATTTATTCTATTAAATACAAACTTGGTTGTTTTCTCATCATTTAAAACAGTAGTTAAAAAGGCTAATAAAAGCAGACGTTTAAACACTTTTACTTACATGATAAAATCTTTGCACAGTTTAGTATATTCATCTCGACTCTTGTCTGAAGTCAAATCTTCCCATAGTTTGGCTAACAGACAAGCTAAAGTCATACGTGTGTCACTTGTAGTTGCCAAACGAACTCCATCTGGTAGATTTTGACAGGATGATTCATTTGCTATGTTAGGAGTTGAACTATTAATATGTCTAGCCCGACGAGATCGCCAATTCTTTAATGAAGTAGTCCCGCAAGCACATGCTACTTCTAATAGACAGTCCATAACACCTTGACAGATAAAAAAAATTTAGAAGGTAAGAAAAGTTGATAAACAATCAATTCATACTTTCAGCAAATAAAGCTATTTTTAACGCATATACGTATAAACACATACACTGTTATAAAAGTCACAGAGAGCTTTATTGAAAACGTCTCCGATTAACTCAAAGATATTTAGAAGATTTGGAAATCATACTTTCATTTCATAGGCGAAATCAAGATGCCATGAATATTATACATCAGCGATACTGAGTGCATGCACTAACTACCTATATTATAAACACCTCGACGCAGCTTTCAGACATTTAGCAAAAATCTAGTCCCTTACATAAAAGCCGGCGGTTCAAATTAGAAGAGAATAGATCAGTTTAAATATAATTGTTACTGTGAACTGTGGTGAACACCCAGAAGTCAATCACTAAGAAGTGTTGAATTTAGGTTTTATGTTTATATGACCATTTCAATTAGTGAGACATACATGCAACCTTGAGGAAGTGTTCCTTCCTTAGACATTCCTACGGACTGAGACAAATAACATCCAACGTCAAATACAGTGCATTCCAATATCACGTTACATAGCTCAGTGGTTATATACTTCAAACTTCATCAACAGCTTTCAATTATGACTAAGTGTTTGACAGCTACATCGGTTATCAGTTCATTCAATTTACATTTTCCTCTCACTTCAAAGTTTTGCAATCTGATGACTGTATACAATTGGTAAGAAGTTTCCATCCAAGTTTCATAAATAACAACAATAATTAAAAAAGTTTCTCTGAAAGCTTTAATTAACTTCACGAGTCTGACACTTGAACAGGTACATAGTAGTACTGAATTCAGAGGTCCCATCCCTGAATACAGACAGTCCAAATAATACCACATACTATTGAAAAATGGCTAAGTATCATTAATTTGATGAAAAAAGTGTAATAGTGTCTAATTCTCATTGCCTATTCTTGTTTATCGACTAAGGAATGAAAAATACCTTAACAGACTAAGTCACACGACATTTGGTAATCAGTACAGATTAAAATGAATAGAGTCAATAATTTTCAGATCAAGCAAGCTGGAATGTACAACAACTTACTGGTACAGTATACAAACTTCGATTCATCAGCAGAATATTAATGAATTCAGTGCATCCTCCCCACTCACTCAATCACTTTTGGTAATAAAAATTGAATGATGAAAATAATACTGAATTACAATGCTTATATCAACCACATTAGAAAACAGTTCGCAAGGTCATCCAGCTTCTGCAGCACACTAGCATCTTAGGCAATGGAATCTGTTTTACATGGCCAGTTACCTGCTTGTCAAGATTTTTCTTTCCAGACTTTTCAATGAAACTTTATATACAATCAATAGGCTAATTCTTATCCTAGTTCATCTCTGATAGGATTCACCCAATCAATACATTGTTTTTCACTACGTAGACAGTTGCTACTAAAATTATTGTTCCCTTAAAGAAATAGACCACTGGAAAATGAAAGAAAAAAACAGCATGTACCTTGGGTCAAAATATGTGTATACAAACAAGAATTTAAATATACACATACCTTCAATTTTTAGGATTTTTTGAGACCATCCAATACCTTTATCGGAGGGAATGAATCGAACCAATATTTCCAAGATATAGTCTCGAGTTTTGGCACTTATACGATAACTGTTAACACATCGAACAAGATTCACCAAAATTTCCTCAACAGGTTTTTCAACTGTAGAGTCTTTGGTAGGAAAATGGTTACATCAAACAATTAGCGTCTGTTCATTGTGTGCAAAAAGTTGTGAAACATGCTAAATTAGCGATAACTAAACCGAGATAGATATTGGTTGGATGGAGGTAATCGGCAAGAAACCTAAAACCTAACCAATCAAGGTACCTAACATAGTCATGCAGGCTGTCAATCGCGGCTTGAATAGGTCAGTGGTAACGTCTCTGACTGTAACGCTGGGTGACGCACTGTAGAATATCAGGTGTGACATCAGTTTCATCGAGGTTGCAAATACTCCTTGCTGATGAGTGCCAAAAAGCACGAAACCTAGATCTAGAGTTTCCTGCTGATTACCTTCATCCAACCGATATATCTCGGTGCATCACGATGGTGAGTTTCCAGGCCTGGAAAGTAGTAGACAGAAATCAATCAGCACTTAAGACTAGACCACATCAATTTGGCTATCCTCCGGTAACAAATCAATGTAAGTAACTAAGCCCTTCAGGCTTCCGCTATTGCACAATCCAGACCAAAATCAACCCTTTCAACTTGGTTCTTTTAAGAAATATCACAAAATATCTAGTAGACCATAACGTTGCCAAATAAAAATCTTGGGTATGGCCGAGTGTGGGAGGACGAGTCTGTCCCACCAATTTCCCGTTGGGGCTGTCAACCTCAGAACCATTTGACTCAACGGATAACAGGCCTTATTCGTCAAAACTATAAACTTTCGAGTCATAGATGTACGCTGCATTTCTAAAATAAGTATCCAGAAGCCAAATGGGGTTACTCACATAATCTCACCTGGTTAACGTGGTCAGTCTGTAGAATTAACTTTATTGGTATTCGAAGATTCAATGGCTAGTCCATACTGACTCGCAGGTGTACATATAAACTTAGGTTCGGGAGTAGAAAGTGAAATTCTTTACTGGATGCTATTTAACACCCATCTCTATATGATGTCCGATTGAATGTATCTCCAGAAAATGAGGCACACTTCGATATCGGCAGTTTTCTGACACTAGGCTCCGCCTAAGCGCAAACAGACTGTAGTTTAGATGAGTTTTTGCAGCACACAGCAGAACGTTCATATATAGACACAACAGTAGGCGACTTGAGTGCTACAGTAAAAAGGCTGAGCTAATCAGAAAGGCATCATGAAAGTATCTACGGTATCCCATGCTAACAGTTTGATGACGCTGACTCTCATACAGTCTCGTTCTGATAATCGCCTGTTTCTGAACACAAATAAGAATAAGGAGCCTCTTCTGAATTCATAAATGGGTGAGAAAGGTATTTTTGCAAGTACAAAGAAGAACGGAAGTAACTCAAATGTAGACTGAGAGACATTAAAAACATTGCACACAAGCGAATCAGTTCAATTCGTCAAACTTCATAGTAGTATGCAAAGAACAAGTGGGTAGAAAAATAGGTAGATCAAAGTAGATTGAGGTGTAGGGGCGGAAAAGGAGCTTATAGATGAAGGTTAGTGAAAATATTCAAGCTTTAGATTTCAAAGAGTGAATACATCTGCGCCATTATGACGGATTTCAAGCAAGATAAGAACATACGACCAGTCATTACTGCGTAGCGGTCCAAGCTGCTACACCTCATATCACCACATCAAACGAGAATGCATCAAAATAAAAAAGGATAACGATCAACAGAGGTAGAAAGTCACCAAAAGAAAGCGACACGGAACTAGAGATTACTGAAAATCAGTATGACGATTAAGATGATGTGTCCATCCGTCCATCCGGATCAACCTAGGATTAGGCATTACTGCGTAACAGTCCGAGTTGCCACACCTCATATCACTACATCAAGTAAAAAAGCAGTGAGGCACAAGATGAAGATAAGAGAATGCAGTCAAAAGAAATATAAAGTACGAAAAGAGAGAAACCATGAATGAGAAAGTGGTGAGATTGGGTATAGCATCGTTAAGATAAGGATAATGTGTGTATACATCTGCACCACTGACACCGGTTCTCAGTCATATCACCTAGAGTCTCCAACCACTAGTTCCTCTTGTCCCGCCGACCCCAACCACCTAGTCTGCATCGCCCCACAAGGTTCAAACCAACAGTCAGAGACTTCATACATTGGTGCCATGTTTTAGTCTGGCCACCTCGGGCCTTTTACCAACCTGGACGTACTTCAACCAACATTGTGTGACGAGGTAATCGGTGACTAGGCATACGTAACACCTGTCCCAACCATCTCAGTCGATGAAGGTTCATGACCTCTTCAACATATTTACTTCTAGTCCCTAAAACTCTATACCTGACGTCTGCGTTACTCACATGGTGACACCACGTAATACGGCCTACACTACGAAGGCAACGGTGGCTAAACACCTGAAGCCTTCTCATGTCTTCCACCTTCAACGGTCATGTTTCACAGCCATGCAGTAGAACAGACCGGACTGCTGTGCAGTATACACGACCCTCAGTACACAATCGGATATCATGGCGACACCATAGGTGGCGTAAATTGGCAAAAGCCAATCGAGCCTTTTGTATCCGTGCAGAGATTTCATCGGCCTCTGAGCCATCAGGGCTGATCCTACTTCCCCGGTAGGTGAAGTGGTAAACACACTCAACCACTTCACTCTCTATAGTTAGCCATGGCACTGTTGAAGACCAATCCTGGAGCAAAGATTTGCATTTGGGTGGTGAGAGCCGCATCCCAAACATTCTCAAATTTCCACTCAAAGTGTTCAGAAGACTCTGCATCTTGTCAGCATCTTCACCTAACAGGACTATGTCATCTGCATATTCTAGGTCTAACGAAAATTCTCCACCGATTAGGTCAACGTCTGTGTAATCAGGCGACGAGAGGGAAACCTTCATAAGAATATCTATGACAAAACTGAATGAGAATGGAGGCAGTGGGCATCCTTGATGGACACCACTCGATGAGCATACCTTCCTGGACATCTCACCACAGACTCTAACACGCCCACAAGTGTTCGAGTAGAGAGCCTTCAATGAGGTGATGTACTTGCTCGGCACGCCTTTCAATGAGACATTGCCATGAGACTTCTCGATCAACGGAGTAGAATGACGCACTCAGGTCGAGAAATATAGCCAGTGTCGGGCGCCGGTAAGCGTGTCTGTGTTCCGAAACCTGGCGCAGTGTGAATACTTGGTCGATACATCCGCGGCTAGGTCTAAAGTCTGCTTGGTTTTCTCAGGTTTGTTGTTCCCAAGCTCCACTCAGGCGTCGAAGAATTATATGACCTAGAATCTTAGACACTATGTTCCTCTATGGTTATCACAAGAGGACTTCTCGCCTTTCTTGAAGACTGGGATAATCAGTGACTTAGACCAGTCAGAGGGGATCGTATTTGATTCCCATATACTAGCTAACACTTCCATTAACCTGACTGAGAGCACCTTACCACCATCCTTGTATACCTCAGCAGGCAGTTCACCTGGTCCTACTGCCCTTCCTCATTTCAGGTTACCTACCACTTTCTCAACTTCTCCTAGTGTTGGGGGGCCTATCTCTATGTCCCATTCAGGATCCGACATGAAGATATGTGGATGCACCCGAGTCACTAGGCATACCTAACACATATTTCTTAAAACTTTACATCTGACTACCGCATTACTGATGCGCTATAACACTATGAGACACTTCCTATACTACTATGGCGACGGTGGTCAAATACCTGAGGCCTTCTCACACTCACTATTTTTAATAGCCAAGTTTCATAGCCATACAGCAGAACACAGCGAACTGCAGTGCAGTACACTCAACCTTTAAAAGGTATTCGGATATCCCCATGGCACCCTAAGTGGCGTTAGTTGGAGGGAGCCAAGTGAGCCTTTTGCATAAATGCAGAGATTTCGTTGGAAACTCACCAGGTAAATGAAGTGGCCAACACGCTCAATCATTTCACTCCCTATTGATAGACAGGGCACCAGTGAACACCAAGACCTAAGGAAAAAACTGCATTTGAGTGGCAAAAAATCCACTCCAGACATTCTCAAATTTTCACTCAAGGTGTATGTATACGAAATTCTCCATCCTGTTAATGTCTTCACCCAATAGGATCATGTTATCTGAGTAGTCTAGATTTACCAAGGATTCTATTGTTATAAAAACAAGCTCTGCAAAGTCAGACGACGAGAAGCAGACCTCCTTTAGTATGCCTATGATAAAGCTGAATAAGAATGGAAAGAATGGACATTTTGAAGCACACCACTCACCATAAGCACTAGCACAGTCACAGCTGTTTGAGCACAGAGCTGTGAAAGGAATGATGTACTTACTCGAGATTCCCTTCAGTAAAAGAAATCGTCATAAGACCACTAGATCAAAGGAGTTGAATGCCGCCTTAATATCAAGAAAAAAAGGCAGTGCCGGTAAGTGTGCCTGTGTTCCAGAACCTGTGGGTCTGAAGCCAGCCTGGTTTACTCGTGTTTTCTGTTTTTGAGCTCCATTCAGACGTCTAATGATAATAGAACCTAGGATCTTAGACACTACGTTCATCAGGCTGATGTCCTTGCAGTCATCAGAAATGGATTTCTCACCTTTCTTGATTGTGACTAGTGTGAGAGGGTCGTATCTGATCCCCATACACTGGTTAACCCTTCTAATAATTTGACCAGTATATACCTTTGGTACTAATCCGTCTTGCCCTCCTGCCCTTTCTCGTTTCAGGTTACCAATAGCTTTCTATAATTCTGTAGGTGTTGTAGACCTTACCTCAGTGTTCTATTCACAGATCAACTGCATAACATATAACAGACTAGAAGCTATAGGTCAGTTGAACTGTTCCTTGAGGCGTTCCGCCCATCGTTCCAGTCGTCTACAGTGCGAATGAACACAGAACCACGCTTTGCAACTACAGTCTCACTGACAATTAACCTTTTCACCATAGTTTTCTTGACCAGTTTAGATAACTGTCTACTGTTATCTATCGCCTTTACCGTTATTGCTCAGACTTCTTGTCAGGATTACACATACGAGCATTAAAAAATTCAAAAGAAGATGCCGAGAGCAACTCGTCCATTTTAACCGCTCTGAGACTCGGTTACTATGTGTTGTATTTAAAATAGGTTCCAGACGGTGTCAGGTTACTTTCTACATGGTTGAAAGTTTTCCTGGCCTAATGTCTGTCTAGCCAGTTTCTCGCTGAAATCAGTCTTAGTATTCCCACTGTCAAAGAGTGATCGTAATGGTATTATTTCTGTCGCTTTCCAACGTCCATTTAGGCGCAGACATACACGTGCGCCACTTAACGAATTACAACTGGTCTAAACACCTGCTTCAGATGCAACAGCATTTCTCACTGACTCTCTACAGCGAAAACGCATAACATTATGACCTACCTGTTCTCAGAGTGGAGTTGAGGTCGATGGACAATCACACTACACAATGTCTTACTACATTTCTGAAGTTTGTGTTGGCCGAAAATTGATAGTTGTCTGAGAACGGTTGTAGCAGGTGACAGCCGTTATCTGTTCCTGCCAGGCTGATCGTTCTTCAAGCTTCTGAAAGAGAAACCTAAGTCCATGACCGTATAGCCTAAGGAACATCTGTTTAAGGCCAGTTACACATGCTCTTTTCAGAAGTATGATATCTTAGTTAGCTCTTTGTGAATCCGTCTGTGAACACGTTTCGCCGGCACCGGTATGCTTAGCGATAGAGAGAATTGCGCTATTTCGGAGGTCAACCTTTCGTACCCCCCGCCTTTACATGAGGAAGGCAGTATCAGTGTGCTACTGCTGAGCATCAAGAGGTAACACCTAACTGCCGTCACACCCTATCTAGCTAGCAGCAGTACATCACCCTCATACCCCCTTCACAACGTAGCAATTTACACTATAATGGTAACTGTTTTTTGTCTTACCACTGTCCAGCAGACCTTTCTGGTATGGTAGGACCTCGAGGGAACAAGCGTTGAACCAATAAACCTATTCGGGTCATTGTGATATACAATCCCCGCCATCACATCGAGGTCGCAGCTATCGATCGGGTTATGATGCATGCTGTATCTCACAGACAAGCACACAAAACGCCAGTGAAACGCTTCGAATAAATACTTCATTTTTCACCTAGTACTGAGATATCTGTCGAGTAGACCTGTTTAGGAAGGTCACCTAGCTGGTGGTAGAACTCATCCTAGGCTGCATTCGGGTCACATTTTATCGGATCATACGCAGGGATGACGAAAAGACATTATTTTCATTGCCAGTTACTCTAAACTGTAATCGAACCTTAAAGCCAAGCAGCACACAGACAGCTGTTGATGGAGATCTATTCGACTAGTGCAGCTACCGCTGTTGCTTTTATTATGATATCATAGGTTTTACGGAGAAGTTGAATGAACAGGTTAGACACCTAAACTCAGAGGACGGCCATTTTGGAGAACAATGGGGATTACTTGATCGTAAATCAGATAACAGAAGAGTTATTTTACAGCTTTGTGCAAATCACAACTTATTTCTAGTCAGTACAAACTTCTGCCACAACCTGGTATACTGTCCTTGCTACTCAAGCTTGAAATCTAATTGACAGTATCACAACTAGCTAACGACAATGTGGATATATTCAGAACTCCCACTCCATCTGGAGCACATGTTTGGACCCTAGTTGCGCTTAAGAGTGTGCCAAGATCATCTTGAGTTTTGTTGGTCATCGAAGTCGTCAACTTCTTTAGGTTAACGAACGGAAATGAGTTACTCCTAGTATTGCAACCAAGTACCAAACCGAGCTAGAATAAAGGCTAGCTTTTGAACTTCAAAAACGTCATGCAATGGTGATTAAAATTCCTTGTGAATTAGAACAACTTCTGGTTGATAAACATTGGGTGTCTGACTGCCAGATTCTTGTAGAATAATGATGATGAGTACAATGGCATGCGTAAGTCGTTGACACAAACAACCTCACAGCCCTGAAGTCAAAAACGTGAGGCTTGATGATCAGCAAGAGCGAGAGGGATGAAGGCAGTGATTACACCTGGTTTCAGTAAGCCAGTTTCTGACGTAGATTGTATGCTCATCAACAGGTTTTGTAGACACCTGGAATTCAGGGCGAACCACTTCAGAAAGCAGCTTAGTTGGTTGGTTATTCCAGGAACACTAACTTGGGGATTTTGTGCCCCACAGTCAGTTGACACTGGCCCAACTAAAGAAGTGGAGGTTTAAAAGGAACTTGCGGTACTAAAACGTCATAGGGCACCAGGCCTAGATAAATTACGCCTGAGACTTTCTAAGAGTAAACGTGAGACTGAAGTATGAGGACTGATAAAATTGCCTGAGAAGATATAGCAGACTGGACGTGTTCTATGCCTAGGTTGACAGGTCAGTGTTGTAGTCTTTAAAAAGGGGTCTATGTAGAGGGTATAACAGTCATCAATGTGCCGATCTGCTACCAATAGTCTCTAAAATATTGGCTGGTATCATTCTCTGCAGGTCTTCAAAACTCGAGGCAAGCTGATTTGCAAAAAGCAGATCGGGTTTCGTTCAGCTCGTCACTGCACGTCTTCCCCCTCTACCAGACTGTCAAACACTATCGCGTATATTGCACGTCAATGATCATAGTGTTTTTGGTACCAAGGCTGTCTTCGATGCGTTGAACAGAGCTCTGCTCCAGAATATTCTTTGTCTCTGAGAAGGCTCAATGCCAGAAAATTTCAGTTATAGTGACCGCAGACAACCACCTCCCTCCATTCTTCCAAACGAAAAATGAAGCTAGAATAGAAAGTTCGACTTTATCACTCCTCTTTAACGTTATAGACAGAAAAGACGGCTAATTGCAACTTTATAGCGAATGCTTTTCGCTCAAAAAGTATTCATGTTCTTCGAGTTTCGTTCTCCTTCTTTTGCTTCATCTTCTGTAATTCGTCTATCCTGTGCGCTTCGCCAAACCAAACGCAAGTTGATTGTCTGTCGTGTTGCGACTTCTGTAAAGAAGCTAGAGTTTATACTACTTAGACACATCCTCATAAGCAAATGACAACTCAGCATGTCATAAAGGTAGTAGCAAATATAAGATTTAAAACTGAAGCTACAAAGAAAAGCTTCGTTGGTTTGAACTCCTACTGACATGACCAATATTTACCATAAGGGTAATAAACATCCAGACCATAGTTGTTATGAATGTCCTGGAAAACATATCCTTATAATATACATGTCAACTTACCAATCTTGTATCTAGGATAAGCAGATGGTGAAACCTTTTAATTTCCTCATCTTTATTATTATTAGCAACTTCTTTAGCTTTCCGATACGCTTTTAACTGAGTAAGTGATTCTAACAACGAATTAAGAAATCGGCATCGTTCTATAGAGTGCTCAAAATTGCGTGAATATATTCCATTCACAAAATATTGTGGTGTAAGTTCACGTAAAACAGTAAGACCCTAGAGAAGTAACAACGAAAAAAGGCAGAAAAGCTACGAATTACAAATATGAAACGGTACTACTCAGCAAAGAAATAAATTTTTAAAAATATGGCTATTTATAGACAGGAAAAGATCCCGCCAGTTACAATGATAAGTTTTCACTGCCTTATCCCTGCCACACGCAGCATCCCTAGTAGACAGTATAAGAATTAGGCATTTGGTCATAATATTTGACCTGGATTTCTCGTATTCCGTAAAAGAAAGTGGAACGGAAAAAAGTCAGTGTAAAGCCTACAAAAAGGTAAGAGAAGTTGTACTGACTTTCTTATCCCCCAAGCTGCATAAACTGTAGTTGATTGAATCGGCTTTCATAAAACAAACTATTGGTTTCCTTACAAATCTATTAACTTCGTATGCAGCGGGAATCAAGATACTGGTAGAATGTAATTTCATAGTTTCTCATCAGCTGCAAACAGTCTACATCGACAAAAAATATCACGAATAACCATTATTCTGGACATACTTTAGCGATTTCAGACAACGACTAAGTTCCAAATATACAGTACAACAGCAGATCAAGGAAAAATAGATACAAGAGAACAACAATGTGATATAAATAAAAAGTACTAGAGTCAAGAAGGATTTATAAAATATAGGGATGGAGTAATGGTGTTACTTATAAGCGAGCGACAACCTTACTAAGCTCACGTATCGTAGAGATTAGGAATGAAAACCATTAGGGAAGCACAAATAAAGGGGACACTACACGATGTAAACAACAAACGTATCATCAAAATACCTGTGTAAATGCACAGTCCTCTCTATATCTGATTTCAGTCATATTTAATAGGTCACAAAGACATTCGCTAGCGGGGAATACATGGCCACTTACCTTTAGCTTTCCGGTATAGTTGGTTTTTAAAACGAAGCTGAATACCCTATGTCCAGAGAAGCAACAGTTGTCTCAGTTGGCTTTCTGGGAGAGGCAGAAGTTTCAGTTCCATTTCAGTCTATTTGTTAGAAATGTTACAGTGAAGCAGTATCATTTACTGGATGACGTTTTAGAAATAACTTATTGTCCATGATGATATGAAAATGGACAACAAATTATGTCTGAAACGTCATCCAGTAAATGATACTGCTTCACTTTGTGACATTTCTAACAAACAGATTAAAATGGAATGAAAATCTACCACAGTAGCCAGGTTTTAATCCTATATTATTGCAGTAATTTCAGGCTGTTGGGATATGATTTCAACTGTCTTATCAATTGGTATGCTCACAATGAAAACAACTCATATGGTAAGTTTTATTCGAATCAATTTCAACTATTCTGATAGCCATCAAGCTGCGTAATGGCAAGGTGAACTTACCATTGACGTATTAGGTCTTAAGGGGACATCCAAATTATAGAAATTAGGTAGACCAGAGATAACCGGTATGCATGACCCTCTCGGTTTTAGATCGATATGGGTTAGGCTGTCAATTAGCCTTTTCTCCAGTCGTTTTTTAAGATGTCTATTTACGTTGATCCTAACCATCGTTGCTGTGTCATTTTCCAGATCCGTCAACCTAGAATCCCAATGTATCATTCAGAATCATCTAAACCTTATTAAATTGTGGTACCAGCTCACCATTACAGCATCAAAAGGTTTAACTGGTCTAAGTATAATAGTTTCACCATTATTCTGTAGAGTTTTGATGCTGACCTAAAGATTTGGATTGTGTAGATGCAAATACAAAGTATTGGTTTGCAATGCCAATTGATCCGAACGTCGCATCTTATTTCAAGAAGCCAGATATTATCATTCGCAATTGCATGAATAATAATAATAATAATAGTAAAATAATGTAACGCAACAAGCAGTTGAAGGCATGTGAACAAAGCGACAAATCACACCTATTGTCTGAAGTGTGATACTACGTGACAGTTAGAATAGGTTTAAAGTCCAGAACCCATAGCTGAAAAGTTGACTACCTATATTGGAAAACTAAAGTTCCCCCCCCCCTCCCGATTCAAAGCCTCAACATATGTATGGTTAACATCCCATTCCCCAACTTTAGCATGAATTCGAACTAGTGGGAAGGGGGGGGGTAGGCTGTCTTTCTGAGACATTTTTACAGGATCTGAGTGTAGTTATCTACTTGACCCACTTGATCAAACCGGTGAGTTTTCGAAATTAACCTTAAGAATATCCGGAGACCCAAAGGCTTGCTCTAATGAACTCGCTGGTGTAGGCACAGCATCGAGTTGCAGAGCAGAAATCGCTGAATAAAAGTCAATATCTATTTGTGCGCTGCTCGACTGAGTGGATCTGTAAGAACTACGAAGGATCGTAAGACCAACCGATCCCTACCTGTAATCTCCGCATACGTATACAACAAATACAATTCGGATGATCCAAAGAATGAATTCAAACAAAAGCTATCAATTTGCTTACATAAAGCAAAGCGTTCAGATATAGTCATAACTGCTGATGACTTCAGCACTAAAGCAGGGAAGCCGCGCCAATCGAGAAGGCATCTTGAAGGTTATCTATTATATTATTTGTCCCTTGGGTTCCTGATGGAACATAGGGCTTCAGTAGTACATCTTCATTCCACTCAGTTCTTTGCAATCTTTTGAACCTGGTTCCACGACTGCCCAGGACCTCTCATTTCTTCCTCACACGATCTCCTCCATGTCACCCTCGCCACGCACGCCCAACTCATTGCTTCCCATCTGGGTTCCACTTAAGGGCCTGGTGCGTGATGTCCCAAATGGTCTTCTCAGTGCATGCCCAATCCATCTTCACTTTCCTCTGCATATTTGTTGAGCGATAGGTTCTTGGTTGGTTCGTCGCCAGCCAGCCAGCCAGAGTTCCTTGTTGCTTATTCTTATTATTCTGGCCATCTGAGCTTCAGTATCGAGCCAGCGTAGGCAGTTGTTGATGAATGTCTGCAGTTTGTTGGAAATCCCTTCCGTAACGCGCCAAGCCTCTGAGCCATAAAGAAGCACTGACTTGATATTGGTGTTGAAAATCCGGATCTTGTTCCACATGTTGAGTGCAGAAGATCTCCACACTGGTTTCAGGTTAATGAAAGCCTATCTTGCTTTTCCGATCCTGGCTTTCACGTCTTCATTCGTGCCACCTGTAGTTGAAATGGTGCTGCCTAGACAGGTGAAAGAGGCTACTTCCTTTAAGTTTCTCCCGTTCATGGTGATTGCGGCTTGTTGTTGGTGGTGTTGGCGCTGGTTGGGTATCATCACCACCTCTGTCTTCTCTATGTTCACTTGAAGTCCCGTCTTCGCTGCCCTGCCTCTTCTGTCACTTGTTAGTTTTCGCCTGTAGATATCCAAGTTTGTGTGACATTAGACATAAGTCATCGGCGAAATCCAAATCTTCTAGGATCTTTTCCGCGGTCCAGCGTATCCCACTCTTCTCACAGCTCCTCACTGTTTGTTGCATGATTCAATCCATTACAATCAGGAATATCATGGGTGATAGTAGGCAGCAGCCTTGTTTTACTCTTGTCTTCACTTCAAAAGCATCAATGAACTTCCTATTATGAATTACTTGGCATGTGGCGTCTTCATATAGTTGCTGAATGAGGCTGATTAAGGTTTGTGGTATTGCGTAGTGTTGAAGCAGTTTCTAAATTACTTCTCGGTCGACGCTGTCGAGGGCCTTTTCAAAGTCAATGAAGTTGATGTAGAGGGTTGACTGCTATTCTATGCTCTGTTGTATGATGATGCGAAGCGTTGCAATTTGGTTCGCACATGATTTGAAGGTATCTACGGAATCTTATCCCAACGAAGCGACAACGGTGATCATCAGTTGCAATTTCGTTCTGACAATCACTTGTTCCTAACCAGCAATAACTTCAAGCATAAAGAAAGACACTGTCTCACATGGCGTCCGCCAATATAAAATCAACTACAGATACAGATAGATAATATTTCTATAAGCCATTTCTTGCAGAGGATACGTGGAGGACTGACGCTCTTTCTGGAATACCTGCTTGGAATCCGGTGATGAGTCAGTACGCGTCCGTTTATGTATGCGCCTTAATGATCACAGAAAACATGCAATAGTAAAGCCTTTACGTGCCCCACTGAAAGATGACAACGTTCAGTACACATCTAAGAAGGAATTAGTTAAGCATTCACATGAACGTAACAGCAATGTTTATTCTGAAGAGACCTGGTGTGATATTGTTTGCTGTAGAAATAATGGTGAAGACATTTGGTAACCTGCATACAAAGGTTTACAAACGTGAAGGAGTTTACACAACGTCATCCGAACTCATTGGTGCAAGAAGACTGATTCCAGCTGACTCTAAACACAACTAAGAGCGAAAGTAACTGAAAAGTAAACTAACGAAGAGTCTTTGCAATGACTGTGAGCAGTGGAGGGTGGCGAAATCGAAAGAAGTAGAGAAAGCTCTAGTGTTAGGTAAAACGCGGCAACTAGTTAGGTTTACTATGAATACCGACGAAAAGTAGACGATGGCTAGGGAAACCATCACCGAGAACGATGAGACGATGATAATCTCTCAAGACAGGAGGCTAGGACACCGGGTAGAACACTCTGAAGCACAGTTCAACTAGCCCACCACAACGCTTTAGTCGTTCAACATTCAATCAGCCCGAAATTGAATGAGACGTAGGTGTCGGTCTCTTAACTGTCCTTGAAGTTGAGAAGGCTGTGTCTCACTAGGACGATACAAAGCAGCAAGAATCACAGTTTACCGCCTGACGATTTTAGGGATCTAGGTGGGAAATTGCTTAGTAGGGTAACAGAGATACGAAATAGTGTACTTTAATCAGAGGTAGTCGCGTCAGATTGGTCTACTTCACTGATCATTTCAGTCTATGAGAAAGAAGAGGAATCTTTTTCTGACAACCGTAGGGGAATTCAGTTTGACTAATATCGTGTTCAAGATCTTGGGATCCATGTTTGGTATGCATTTCGCACATGCCAAAGTTAAGATGATGCTCCAAGACTGGTTTTTACCTACTCCTAGCTTAAGAATAGAGAGTGAAGTGGTAGAATATGTCGACCACTTCATTTTTTGGGGGAGTTGCATCAGCTCGAACGGTCAGGTTGCTGATGAAATCTCAACTCATCCCTGGCACCAACTGGCGAGATACCCGACTACCTAGTAAAAGACAGGTATGCTGCGCTGCAGTTCGTCCCGTCTTGTTATACGGCTGTGAGACAGCCGTCAAAAGTAAAAAATGTGAAGCGGCTACAGGTTTCTGACCATAGGTGGCTTCGTAGCATTGCTCGAGCATAATGGAAGCACCATGTTAGCAATGTCAAGATCAGATGAAGAGTTCTAGGAAAGGAAGGTGAATCAGTCAATGAGGTTGTGAACCTTCATCGACTGAGGTGGCTTGGATGTTTTGCATGCTGAGCCACCGCCTACCTCAACGTGCAATACTACACAATGTTGGATTAGATTGGCAGAGGGTTCAGAGCAAAACGTGGCACTAGTGCATGATGTCCCTGACTGTTAGTATGAACCGTATAGACTGTCTGGTCGGCGTCTCCTGTACTATAGGAACCAGTGATTGAGGACTCTTGGTTGCATAACTGAAAATTGGCCACAGTACCACAGATGTACTGACTACTTCGCAAATCCTCAAGCCTGAATGTTTAGAACAACCATCATCATCAAATTCTTTCTTCGCTCGTACACTTCAATATGTATTTTTCTATTCAGTTGCATCTTTTTATGTTGCTGTGAAGTGTGGCAATATGAAACGATGCACTTGTATGAGATGTTCCGCATTGATGTTTCCCGTCTGTCTATTACGGACATAAAGTTGTTTGGTCTTACAACTTTCCGATTTTCCTTCGTGAAGGTATAGCATAACAAGTATAAAGAATCCTGTTTACTGTTAACTGAATTCCAAAACCATGCAATTCTCCCTAGTATATCAGTGTGACCCAACGAATAGTACACGTATTCGAAGAATTTCGGAGATAGTGACGGTACGACGTTATTCCAATTTCTGGTTATAGTTAGTGACCGAAAATTACATTATCGTTAGGTGCAAAATGATTTCAGTAGTAAGCAATTTGACCACAGTTAATCCCGAATGATTTCCGCTTGTTAACTGAAAAGTATACATTATGTATTTAGGTTAATTAGCAGAAAACCAGGTGATAATTACCTAGTAATGATGGAAAAGAAATTTTGCGAAATTAGTCCTGAAGATGTCCCCAAGCTTGGTGATGAAACGTCCACAACAAAATATCAAAGCTCACAGAACACCGAACCATCATCAACTACCTAGCAAGCTTGCTGAATATTCCGAAGGCTTATGACCCAAACCAAAATTGAGTAAGGAACCGCTAAAAATCACAAAGTAACAGTAACTTTATCATAGTTCGTGACTCTCAACGGTGTGAATTTAAGTAACTGAACAAAATGATACTAGGTTCTAACCGTCAGGTCCCATAGTTATCACGTTGTTGCTCAACCACTGGGTTGGAATGTAGTAGTGTTAATATTCGCTAACTTCAGGCAATTTACCGTACACCAAGACCATTACTTAACTTCGTTAGTGAATATTCGTCCTCGCTCACAGCCTGACTGGCCTCATAGGACCTGAAGGTCCAGATTCAATGTTATGCAGTCATCAATATACGCGACCTAAAAAACCAAACTAAGGTGAAAGATCTGTACAGTGCTTTCTGATTTTGTATGACTCCTAGAGTAGTCAATTTGCAATGAAAAATTACCTTCGAACCAATAAACTCTATACAAAGCACTAAACTTCTATCAATTTTACCATTAAAACTCACGTCCCTATTTGAAAATTCCGTCAGACACGATTAGATAGTAAAATGATGACATAAAATTGTATACCACAAAACCTAACACTTACCCAATCCCGCTCATTTTCCATTAGCTGGGACAGCAAACGATGACAAGCAGTGGTTATTTTATGTTCACTGTCCTGGCAAATGGTATATACCTTCGGAAAACTTGGATTCGTCCAGATTAAAGAGCTTGCAACTCTTGGATTTTCTTTAATCAGAGCCGAGAGGTTGACAATAGCCTTAAAGAGTTGGCGTTACAGTATAATAATAATGTTAATTTACCTGTTCCAATTTCTCAACGGAGCTAGCGCTGTCGTTTACTATGTCAAACATCTTGTTCACCTTTCCTGACAAACTTTCTGATTCTGTAACATACGCCAAAACTGCAGATTCTAGCTTTCGGGCTAAATTTTGAGCTGCTTTATTCTTGGGGTCAACATGAATCAGCTTTCTCACAGTTTCTAAAGCCTCCTTTAGCTTTCCAACTCCTTCGTACGCTTGTGTGCAACGATAAAGAGCTTTCGGGTCACTGGGACAGATAGTCAGAGCTGAAAGTAGTCAGTATGTAATAAAATGAACGAACCATCTAAGGCGGCTGTAAGCGCATCACCATAGTTCTTCAAGTTCAGAAAAACACTGAGCTTTATTGCTTTGCAGAACTAGTTTTACATTGTTATCAGGATCACATAAGAGACACTTGTTATATAAATCAACTGCTTCCTGGTAGAAGCCTTGCTTAAAAAGTTCATTAGCTTCAGCTTTTAATTCGTTTGAATCTTTCATACTAACCTGCGAGAACAGAAATAAACGTTCACCAAGATCAAAATAATATTCGTACAGAAGGATAAAATCAATGTGAAACCTAGCACGAAAATGTATCAAGGATTAGAAAATACAAAAGACCGGATAAACCTGTGCCACTGAGGACAATTTTCAGCTATGCGACCAAGACTTCTCAATCACTAATTCCTATCGTCTAGGAGACGCCTACCAGAGAGTCTACATTCCCCTATACGGCCTACACCAACAGTCAAAGATTTCATGTAATAATGCCATCTTTTGGTCTGGTCCCCTCTAAACATTTTCTAGCCGAACTGAGTTCAGTCAACACTGTGCCACTAGGCAGACAGTGACTAGGTATCTTCAACAATTGACCCAGCAGCCTCACTCTATGAAGGTTCACGACTTTCCTTTCCTCCCTAAAACTCCACACCTGGCTTCTACGTTGCAGAAGTGGTGACAACATGACACGACCCATGTTATGAAGGCAACCTCCACTACTCAGAATCATTGCAAAGACTCTTGGTTAATTTTTACTTTCCGGTTACATTCGCTCTTCGTTGTGTTTAGAGTCAGCTGGAGTCAGTCTTCTTGCACGTTGTGTAAACCCCTACACGTTTGTTAAGCTTTGTATGTAGGTTACTAAGTGCCTTCATCGCTATTCCTACAGCAGATAATATCACGCCGGGTTTACTTAGGATGAGCATTGCTGTTAAAGTCAGAAATCAGACAAAGAGAGGAAGACCTCCGCAAGTACGTTGGTGATAGAATCTTACAGAAGCAAAGATAGTGAACATCCTTGACGGACACTTCCAGATGTACATAATTCACTTGGTATCATACCAGAGGCCCTAGGACGCCTATAAGTGTTCGAATAGATAGCCTTCATCAGAGGTATACTGAGATTCCTCTCACTGACGTGGCACTTACAAGACTCCTCGACCGACGCAGTTCAGTGTCACTTTCACATCAAGAAATTTAGTGTAGGGAGTCGGTAACTTTGCCTATGTTCCAGAACTTGACAGAGAATCACCATCTAGTCAATATATCTACGATCAGGTCATAGGCATGCCTTGTTTTCCTCGGGTTTGCCGTGCCTAAGCCCAACTTAGGTTTCTAATGAATACGGAAGCTACAGCAGCTCTGTCACCTGTATAGGTAGTTGATTTCTAGCTGTGTCACGGCTTCGGACGCCACCCCACCTACCGAGGTTTCGGCAACCACGTAGAACTACTAGCCGTTACACAGTAGATGTGGCTCAATGTTTACGACACGAATGTGCACAAGGTTGCTGAGTGACTTTTGATCTCTTTCGAAACAACCTAGAATTCTAGACAATGTCCATCAGACAGAATAATGCAGTATTCAATAAAGACCGAAGACCTACTTAAGTCACTGCCTATCATTTTTCAGAGCACAGATATACTGATAGGAAAAGCGGGATTCCATTCATGAGATCGACAGGCTTTATGGTATTGTGTGATCATAAAGGAAGCACTCACGAACTGCAAAACGTTGATCAAACCTCCACACTCCAAATCACGCAGCCGAATACGGGATCACAGAAAGTAACCACCCAAAATGACAAAAGCTTTTACCGTCCACCAGAGATAACTACTGAGAACATCCCAACTACATTATGCACTTCCGACAATATTAATCTCAGTCCATTCGCCTCTCCTATGTATACTGCTATAAAGTCAGATAACTTTTAAAAAACGTACTACACTAGGCTTTACGTTGATTCTTCTGACTGACAAAACACTACCCACTTCTGATTACTCAGGGATCACTTCATTACCACAAGAGTATCTGGTCGACCCAGAGTATTGTCGAGAAACATGCCGAATAAAGTAGTCATCTGTGGGCATTGAGCAGAAATCTGAGTACACCTCGTATCCTCTTCATACCTGTTGAAAGTAGAATGATACTACAACACTAGTTTCCACTCACTCCTAATTTAAGGTTAAGCACTAAAGTGATCGAATGCGTCCATTACTTCTTTTGAGAAGATACAACTGCATGAAGACGTCTAAGCACAGATAAAAAAGGTCTGTTCAATGCTCATCTAATAGTGCTATCTATTGAATAGGTAAACCATCCAATGTAATTCCATATTAGATTTGTTTATTTGATATACAGCGCACAGTGATACAGTATTATTTACTTGGTTACGTTTCGAGCATAAATTATTGGTATGATTATGAGCAATAATTTATGCTCGAAACGTAATCAAGTAAATAATACTGTATCACTGTGCGCTATATATCAAATAAACAAATGTAATATGGAATTACATCCTACCACAGTGCCCAAGTTTTACACTTAAACCATCCAATGGTCCATCAAAGGTTAATGCACTGGGTATCAGTCCACTTTGTCTCACAACACTGTTGGAATATAGATTTTGGAGCCAGATATTAGTTGTGAGATAGCTGGAAGCAAGTTGAAGGAAGCCCTGGCTTTAAGTTTCATGTTTGTTAGCACTCGTCACCAAAACAAATTAGTAGCCTCCAGGGAACTGATGCCCCTCAGAGCACGGGTCAACCAGTGCTACAGTCAGAGACGTTATCACTGATCCAACTGGATAGCTTGCAACAGAATGTTAACTGAAGGCCAGTTGAACTGTTCCTGAAAGTATTCCACCATCGTTCTAGTCGTCTCCCAGACCAGCTGATTACAGACCCATCCTTCTTCCCTATAGTCTGAATAAACATTGACCTTTACGAGGCAGTTTCCTGATCAGTCAAAATAACTGTCTTCCTTTACCCATCACCGTTGCCTTTTCCATCTCCTTCATCTCCGCTACTCATCACTGATCACAGTCATTTCCTAGACTTCTTATCAGTTTACACTTCACTTGCTCCCCCTCTTCATTGTGCACATCCATCGATGAATTTAAAAGCTGATGAAATTCACTGATCCTCTTTAACCACCTTTTCAGTGCCAACTATGGTCTTCAACGCTATTTTCGAAGCACGATGCTTTCACATGGTTGAAGTTATTTTGTCCTGATAACTGTCGACCCAGTTTCTCGCTGAAATCAGTCTTAGTATTCCCACTGTCAAAGAGTGATCGTAATGGTATTATTCCTGTTGCTTTCCAACGTCCTTTTAGGTGCAGACATACACGTGCGCCACTCAACGAATGATAACTGATCTAAACACCTGCTTCAGATGCAACAGCAATCTCTCACTGACCCTCCACAGTGAAAACTCATAACATTATGATCTACCTATTTCTCAGCGTGGAGTTGAGGTTGATGGACATAACGTCACACAATGTCTCACTGTATATCTTAAGTTCGTGCCCAGTATCACCGCCCACCTCGACGTGCCATACTACGGGAAGCTGGATTCTGTTGGAAGAGGGTTAAGGGTGGCCAGACCAAGACGTGACACCATTCCATGAGTTGGTTTGATTATTGTGGGGGAAATATAGACTACCTGGTTTGGGTCCCCGAGATGACTGGAATGTGGTTGAGTACTCTTGGTGAAAACAGCTGAAAATCAATCCCAATGGTACAGATATATTCACTCCTTGACGTCTTCTAATCCTTGAATATTTGCACTAACCTATCTTTAAATTGCTTATTGTCTCACATAATTTTTTTTAACGATAACAACAGTCATTTTCTATCTAATTGTTCTTTTTATATTACTGTGAAGTGTAGAAAACTTGAACCAATGCACTTGTGTGAGGGATTTTATGCGCATTCTCTGTCTGTCTAAAGTTCGTCTTGGCCAGAAATAGATGATTTCTGAGCACTTTTGTAGCAGGTGGTCACCGTTATCTGTTCCTTTGGCTGGGATTCCGAAAGTACCAACCAGGTATCTTCTCGTCTGCTTAGCCTACTCACTTTTGTGCATTGAAATCGCCCACTATGAAAGCCATATATGAAACTTTGTCTTTCAGTAGGAGGCTAGATAATTTTTTCACAAAACTCATCCTTTACTTCATCCGAACTGTAGTCAGAGGATGCATGAGTTAAGAATACAAAGAGACAACGGCAAGTCCCACTAATGCTTTCAGTCCTTACAGTACTGTTCAGTCGAACAGCACATAAGTGACAGCTAATTGGGATCCAGTCGAGTAGTACACTTTTCGCTTTGGCACTTAATGTTATGCGTACACCTGAAAGACCATGAGAACTAGCCAACCAACCGCCAAAAACTCGAAGGATTACGTTTTCATATTTCACCACAGTGAGCCGGTGGGCTAGGTGAAGTCACACTTCGGTCCCGCATGCATGCCTCATAAACACAGCCCACATTCATAGCCTGACATGCCATAGTTGTGCCTAGCGAAGTTTTTTCGCTGATTTCATGGAGGGTGTGGACAAATAAAGCTTTAATGTGCAGTTTGGAGTGCGATTTAAAGAGACCAGGGACGCTGTTTCGTTTTGCGAGCTGCAGAGCTAGAGAAAATCTAAGATGACGTGGGAATATTGACCGGGAGATATGAGGAAAGATTAGGTGAGGATACAGAATGTCGATAGTGATATGGTGAAACTTCAACGCTGACAGGGGTATGGAGACGGTCAACACTTTCCAGGTGTCCATACTATGGAAGGTTACTTGTTCTTGAGGTAACTGAAAAAACACTTATTGGTAGTAGTGGCAGTTGATTGTATAGCCCATTTGATATCTACTGCGACTGGTTACACAGCCTTTTTAGAAGTTTTAAATCCCATTTGTTCTTATCGAATCTAATATAAACCCATATAGCTGGCCCAAATTTTTTGCGGAGTAAAGTGTAGTGTGCGATTTTTCAGGCTGACGTTTATATCCTCCTTCCCATAGAGGAAGTAACATCAGCATGGTACTGCTGGTCATTCTCTGGGAAAACCTTAATGCTGCTACACCCTATCCAGTTAGCAGTACGACTCTGCAGTTAAACTCCCATCACAGCGTAGCAATTTACACTAACTGCTTTTAACCTTACCTCTATCCAGACGGCCTTTATGGTAAAGTAGGTCGTCGAGGAAGCAAACTTCACCAACAGACAGCATTAGGCCACCATATTCGACCACAACGTCAGGGTAGCAGCTATCTGCCCCTAACGACCAATTAGGTTTAATTGTGAGACCAGTACCAAGCATCATAAATGCTCTACACAATAGCTACTTACCCTCTTCTTCGGGATTTGAAACAACTTTAAGGAGTCAATGTTGAACAAAATCGTATTTTCAACCACTCTTTTGATTCTATGTTTCACACACCTACAGGAAGGGCATTTTTTCAAAAAAATATGGGAGATGTCAAACTTAATGTGAATGCTAACTGATTGAACAAGCTTGTGTAGCAGCGTAAAATAAAGTAACCGGTACATTGTGAACTAAAATATCCGACATACTCTACAGACAACACGCCTTATGTCCTTTTTAGTGAGCGTTAGCTTAGATAAACAGACCGAAAAGTCTAGACGTAATTGCGAAGATTAGTCCCCACAAAATACAATCCTATTAGCAAAGAGGCAGAACTGAAAGAAGTTACATATCACTACTTCTAAAACAAAAACCTTCAGCCTTTAATAATAATAACAGCAGTATACATTTATAGGAAGATCTAGCTTCTCTTTCAGTGCGTTCAACATGTGCTGATTCTTGAGTCGTGAGTTCCACACACTGATAGCTTAGTAGGTAGATGCTAAGTTGCTTTGACCAAGGTTTCTGGAGTTTCTCATTATGGACTCAGAAATGAGTGTAAGGAGGTACAAAACTACATATCAGTACCAGCGTCACTGTTTAGAATACGAAATGCCATTGTGAAAAATTGTTTTTCCTATAGTTAATAAGAGTAGTTTTATTCGATTAGTATGCTCATACGGTAGTTGGCAAAGCCGATAAATTAAATCAAATCGTCGGTTCCCAATGATTTATCAGCAGGAAAACTCGGGGGAAGGAAGAGAAATTTTCAGAACATCGGCCAAATCGAAAAAACGCAGGACATATTGAGGTGTCGAAACGCGGACGCGTAAGTCACGGGGAAGAAGTCATAGCATTGTTGCAAAACTTCGAGTCCTGCCTCGATTTTTCAATGTAATGTTTCTCCATGGCTTTTTGTTGTGCCCCGAGAAAGTGTTTACTGAGTTGACAGTACTCCTAACCGTAGATGTTTAAAACTACCTAGAAAATCAGCAGATGTCCATAAAATATACTATGGTTGCCAATCTCTTGACAGTCATGAGCGTCTAGACATAAACGATTATTAGTTTCTTTTGAATCGTAGCTTGAAAAATGGTTTATATAAATGTCTGCTGTGTAGATCTTAAAATTTTACACAGTTAGACTAGTAAACAAATTGATATTCAAAGTAACACTCATCGTCTCGACAACTTACGTCCATTTAACAAACAACCTGTTTTAGTTTCCCGAAGTAAAGCCTTGTAATACCGCCAAGTTCAAGGTCACTTTCTTCCAACATCGAAATTTAACTGTGCGAGAGTAGAAAACTGACAACTTTTGATCTCTCACATCTGGTTCTCAGGTCTCAGTCGGAGTTGTTCAATTTGTTCCTGTGGTGGAAACCTTTCTTGCTTTCTTCCTTTAGCTTTGAAGTGGTGGATGTAATGTAGGCTAGTTAATTGCAATTTGTAGAGTGATTATGGAGCTACAGATTGCTGTGAAGATTATGGGTCTGTCGTGACTACTATCTGTGCAAGTGCCTGAATAGGAATAGCCAGATACTGGGAGAAAGTATTTGGGAATTACCCGAAAGACAAAAGTAGATAGCATGGCTTCAGTGCTAGGGAAGAGTAAGTGGATAGTGTTGGTGAATCAAGAAAAGAGGCTGTAGGTGGTAGGTAGATGGAGAGTGCTGTTGAGTTTGTGAGTTTTGTAACCCCATGAGCACATCTGTGGTTAACCATGTGAAATGACAAGACTGTATAACCGTCTTTCAAATGAATCTACCGATGGGGTTGTGAGTACAACCCACTGTGGGGCAATCCATAAGGCCATACTCTCAAGGTGGAAAAGTTTAACTTGAGGAGGGTGTTAGCTCTCTTGCATTCTATTTAAGTGAGGTTTTCTCGTAGGCGTCGCTGTGATGCGGACAAGGCTAGTTTGTGGGACATGCGTGATGGGCGAACTTGCAGGCCTAAATAAGGTCAAACCGCCTTCCGAGATAGCCTAAGTAGAACGGGCTTAGGACTTTTCGTTTTCCAAATTGTACCTACCCCACAATCCCATAACTGACATTACTGCAGGTAGTTGCACTTACCCAAGTAGATTAGAGTACCTCCTGAATGTTACAGGTGCCATCGAAATGATGACCTCCGTAAGGGGCCGTAAGTTGCATTCCATCCACAGAACTGAGGGTGAAAAGTGACGGTATATGCGCCAACCAAAACAAATACACCAGTACAGGAGAAAAGACTGAAACAGATAACGGCTCACAAAATCCCCAGCACCCTTGGACACCCAATCCGTCATTTATTGAATCCTAGTTGTGACACTAGTCTCAGAGAGCACACACAAAAACAAGGCTTAGATAATAGCAGGTTAAATACCAAACACAACATCTATTCCTCAAGAGTTGCAGAACCCTGGAGTGCTCTTTCTTCCGAAGTGATCTGGACTTCTTCCGAATCCCTTAGACGCAGGTTCGATACTCGCTTGAGATATGAGTAGAACCTGCTCAGAACTAACTGCATTTTCAGATTTCAGCCACCAATATTTGCTCCCTCTTTACTTGTACGCATGTTAACAGCCACGATAAGTAGTAATCCACGGATTCCAGACATGGAATCCGGTTGAATGAAAGATTCGTTTATTCTGTCAACAACCATTTGGACTATCTGAATCTAAGAGGGTCCGACTCAATGGAAACATCAGCACGAACAAGGTGGTCCAACCTCCAGCCCAAAAAGTATTACGGTCATTAGGATGCAGATAGTAGATACCTACCGTAAGCACGAGGCTCGAGTTATCTGGGGTCCACCGGTTTTCAATGATTACAATCCAGCAACGCTTGACTGTATAGGCCAAGACTTTTGGATAATTAAACCCACAGCGAATAAGTGAGTTCAGCAGAACAGCGAATTTCGATGGGATTGCGAAAAGGTTAGATCGCTTACTACACTGGATACAGATGCTTCTAGTGATCATCACTTAAATCTACGATACGGAGAATAGCGAGTGTCAGGATGTGGATAGGTTTGACTGAATGGCAAAGGGGGCAACCACCTATTGTATGAAGAGACGGCAGATCATTTATTGACCTGGGAAACGCAACAGTGTTTTTATAGTATTGACGCTGCCAAACTGACTGCTTGCTGTAGAACCCAGCGGATATCCTGAACATCCCTATCTGTTCATCGAGGGCTGGCAAAAGTTTATCGAGTTCACAGAAGATGGATAAAACATGGGATTCGAAAGCGTGGGTTCCTGGTGGAGGAAAAAATAAATGTTATTCACATCGCCCACCATATCGTAATCAGTGTAAAGATAATGCTCGTCGTTTTGAACAGTCAGATGGAAAGTTGTGAGACTTAAGCAGCTTTTCTCGCTCAAAAACCCATGTAAGGCAATAAGAAGACAAATATTAAGAGATGGTATCATCCTGCAGTCTCTCCACTATCACATTTCAACTAATTTGGCCTACGCTGATAAGTTGTTCGTCAGTATTTGCGATGATATTAACCTTGGAGAAGTGTTAATATCTAATCATCATGCTAGATCAAACAGTCCAACGTGCACAAACAATTACTTCCATTATTTTCCGAACGCATAACTTTGGGTGCGTGTGGTTAATCCAAAGTACTCCTATCACTTTTAAGAACCTTGAACTGGCGTTTCGTGAAATAATTGAAAAACAGTCGTTAGCATCGATTTTGTGACCGTCATCTATAAAAGTCTGGATGCAGGTGACGCTGGGTTTCTATTCATGCTAAGTATACTTGGTTTTATCGTAAGATTTGATAACCGCTGAGGAACATTTTATTTCCAATGGTGTTACATCGTTCTCTTAGTCCCACCTGTATGAGTTTCCCTCAAAACTGCAGTAGAACTTGCAAATGCAGTGTGAGGTAGGGTAAACCGAACTACGCCCTTTAATAATCGGCACTGAGAGAGGAAATGTCCTCGAGGTTAAAAAAAGGGAAGTGGCGCGGAAGGTGTGTTTGATAGCCAACAGTTTTTGAGACTTCCTGAACCCCACTTACCAAGTTTGCGGCATAGGAGAGCAGCATGAGGCTCTTTATCAGTTCATTTCAAAGGAAGCTCGTTTCAGATTGGGAACACTGAGTAAAATGAACATTGAAAATAAGATTACGTGTTCTGTTGACGCGGAGTCTCAGTTTACTAACGCTCCGTTACATGAAACGGCGGATTATATTTGCAACTGAATAGACTGCTACGATCCGGGATATATATAGCTATACGGTGCTTCGATGCGATACCATTAATAATAGAATAATAACCTCTCAACTCGGCATTCAGCCGACACTAGAAGAAGACGATGGAGTTGGGGTAAATTTACTTCAACCGAATGAATCCATAGCTGAAAATCCTGGCGTTTATGTACCCTTAGATGGCCCTGGGGGAGGGAAACAAAATAGCATATTAAAAGTGCAGAGTGGACCGATCGGCGTTCAGCATCCCAGACCACGGTAAGAATAAATACCATTGCATGGTGCAAAATGGGTGAGGAAATGAGGCTTAAACTTTACGATGAAGATACATACATATCGCGAGTTAGCCTTCCCAGGAGTCAGACGGAGTCTGGTGGCCTGCTTGAACTCTGGGGTACCGTTTTCTATCATCGAGTATATTGCATCAAATTTCTTATTTCTATATTGTTTTAATCGTTTACTTATGTCAACCAATCGTATTGTATATTCTCGCTCGTTTTTAAAATCATTACAACCTATCGCTTCGCAAGTTGATAGGAAATTTAAGAAGAAGCACCACGGTGGATGGCAACGAGCTCTGAAGCGTATGACCACAAATCAAATGACTATTCCGGAAATACTGAGCACAAACTGCAGGTCGTTGCCGAATAAAGTTGATTACCTTCAGTCACTCTTGTCCACAAATGTTTATCGAAACGCGGGTGTAATAATGCTGCAGGAAACATGGCTTCATAATCTGTATGATTATGACTTAGTCTGCTTAGATGGTTTCAAATTATTTCGACAAGATAGAAGCTTTTCGAAGAAGAAATGTGTTGGTGGTGTAGCAACATTTATTAGTACTAACTGGTCGTCCTCCAACTATGTATGCTTCTGCTTCTCTAACGAAAAGATTGAGTGCATTACCATCAAATGTCGCCCCAAACATTTGAGCGAATACAAATACACATATATCACAAACATGTATGTCACACCTGACTGCAGTTTCTCAGATTTGTCAACTTTTGCTGATAAATTCACTGAATTTGCTGCTCCGGTTCTGAGAAACTGTTTGTCTATTGTCTGTGGTGATTTTTCTGTTATCATTGGGTCATAAAAATATGGTTAACTTTTCCACTCGTCTTGACAACACTCTAGACTTTGCATTTACAAATGAACCTGGCATATATGAAGCCCGTAAACGGGCTCCACTGCTAATTCCGACCACTGTATTTTCGTGTTTTGCCTAAAGTGTACGGAAAATTATACAAGAAAGCTTTTGCATACCTTTCAAGGAAAGTTCAATACAGATGCTATTCTCAAGAAAATATATTACGTTTGAGAAGCATGCTTATAGAAACGGACTGGGATATATTTGCTGATGAAGTTTTAGACAACACTATCACCAATATCACAAGCTATCTCAAATTCTGTCTCGATATCTGCTGCCCTACTGAAACAATTTACATGAGATTTGACAGACTTTCCTCTCCTCATCTCAAGAGGCTTCGGAGAGAAAAGGAAAGGTTGTATAAGGCGAGAGATCACCCTGGCGTTAAAAGGCTTAACTGCCCAATTAAGTCTGAAATACAACGTCTGAATACTATATACAACGAGAAGTTCTTATCGTGTAAGAGCTCTTCCAATATATGGAAATTATTTAAAGAGCTTACTGGTGAAAAACACAAACTCGTTCGGATGTCTGCGCGTTAAACAAGTCATTTATGTGTCGGCAAGCAAATTTCACCCTTCCTAATTTGCAAAATCAAGTGGATAGCTGCTTTCCAGGTTTCAATACAAATGATGTATTTAAATGTCTAAAGTCTTTGAATCCCTCCCAAAGCTTAGGTCCTGATGGTGTTTCTAGTATCATATTTAGAAAATGTGCAGATATTTTGTGCCATCCACTTACAGATATCTTCAATGTATCGTTCTCTAAAAACATAATACCCACTGCTTGGAAGCAGATAAAAATTGTACCTGTGCCTAAGCCATCTTCTGGATCAGATGTTAC